CCGCCCCACGCAGGCGACACTGACTGCGCATCTTGACGTGCTGGGAGACCTCCAAGAGCTCCATCTCCGTGGGCATGTAGCCCAGCGTCCGCATACACTCCCCCAGCTCCCGGTAGCCGATGTAGCCGTCGCGGTCGGTGTCGAACTCCTCGAAGGCGGCCTGCAGCTCTGCGGGGAGCGGCTGTCAGCCTGGCTCAGGGGCGCCCCCCTCCCCGGGCTCCTCCCCGCAGCGGTGAGAGCCACTCACCATCCATCTCTGCCGGGCCCAGCTCCCGGTCCTGCGGGGGAGAGTCCAGCATGTGTCCGTCCTCCTCCTCCGCCCCCGCCCCACCAGGAAGAGAGGCCCCCCTTCGCGATCCAGGGGGCTCGAACTCCCGCAGGGCCTGGGAGTCCTAGCTTTGTGCCTGCCCAGGCCTCCTGGAGACCCCAAAGGCTGAGGCCTCGCGCCGTCAGCCCTGGTGCTCAAGGCCAGGGTGGGCTGAGCCTGGGGGCCGGGGTCTCCACCCCCACTCCCAGCCCCCAGCCCCTCTGACCTTCCCGAAAACCCGGTTGAGCAGGGGCCCGTAGGTCCTCTGAGCGGCGTCGCTGTGGACGGGGCGGTGCCGGTGGGACCGTCGGCGAGAGCCCAGCCCAGGGGCCACTCCGGACGGCGCGCCCGGCCCCTCTGAGGTCTTGCTGCTCCCAGGGACCGCGGGGCCCTGCGCGGACGGCTGCTCCTGGGAGCTGCCTGTGCTCCTGCGGGACCCCTGCCGTCCCCTCTCCTTCTTGCTCCTCCTCCTGGCTGAGGGGGTCGTCCCAGCATGGCTGGCAGGGGTCCCGGTCTCCACGGAGGGCTGCTGGGGGCTGGGGGCCGGCTCCGGGCCCTGCCGCCCCTTCACCTGCTCTGCGGCCATGCGGGGAGCCCACAGGGAGCAGAGACCCTGAGCTCCTTGGCGCCTGGGACCCTAAAGCTGCTTACACACCCCAGACGGGCCCTGAGGGGGATTAGGGTAAGTGAGGCGGGCAGCCCAGGCCCTAATCCCAGGCTCTGCTCCTGGGGAGGCCAGGACGGGGTCCCCTGTTCCAGGAGAACTCAGCAGCGAGGGGGGACCAGGACGTGGGGGCGGCCGTGGGCAGCCAGCTCTGCACTGCCCAGCCGCGAGAGGCCGCCCGTCTGCAGTGTCACTCCCCTCGCTGCGGGCCAGGGGCGCTGAGCCAGGCTGGGGGGACCGGGGCAGACGTCTGGGGCAGGGGGGAAGGTGGACGAAGGCTGGGGGGCGGGAACAGGTGGGACAGGCTGGAGCAGCAGGCCTGTGAGAGCCAGGAGAGACCTCGGGCGGCAAGCTGAGTCAGAGGATGCAGTCCCTCGGGGGACAGGGGGGAGCCCTGGGGGGAGCAGCCCCCGGGTGAGGGGGCCCTGCCGTCCGGCCCTGGCCGGGGTGTGCTGGCCGCTTGGCCTCGCTGGGCAGGGGTTAGGGTTTCCTGGAGAGCAGCCCCATGAATGATTGATGGCTCGCAGCTTGGGTTTCCTGCCCGCCCGCCTCAGTGTCGCCGGGCGCCATGCAGCAGGCCCCGGGCTGGGGCCGTGGACGGCCGGACCCCCGGGCAGGCAGGTGTGCTCTGCTCCTTCCAGCCGCCGCGGGGCACCTCACGGGTGAGCCAGGCCTCCCAAGTGGGGACCTTGGGTCGGGGGGAGGGCGGTGGCGGCCCAGGCTCTGATGTGACAGGGTCTGGGAGCCCGCAGAGGGAGGCCACGGGCAGGCTCTGGTCCCGCCCCTACCAGCGGCGCCACTGCCACCACCCTCGGAGGGAAGTCCCCTCCCCGCTGCCAGCCGGGCACAGTGGGGCTGCCCCCGGCCACCCACAGTCCTGTCTCACTTCTCCCCTGAGCAGCTCCAGGGGCAGCCACGCTGCAGAGGCACGCGCGCCCCAGGCTGCCAGGCTCAGCTCTTACCCGGAGCCCACGCGTGGCACGGGCTGGAGGTGGGACCTCCCCCTGCACGTCCACCTCAGCCTCCTAGGGGCCTGTGCGCCAGGAGCCCACCCCCCTTGGAATCTTAAATACATGAACCCCAGGATTCTCCGAGTGATGTTCCCCGGGGGCGCTCCCCCTCTTTCGGGCTGAGCCTCCCCCCTCAGCGTGGGGGTCCCACTCCTGGGGCTGCATTCCGAGACCCCGAGTCGTCGAGAGCTCCCCCAAAAGGTGCCGATGACGGCCCAGAGAGGGACAGTGGCTTGCCTGGAGAGGCACAGCCCTGCCTCTCTCAGGCTTGGCCATTCATGCATCCCTTGGTTCACCAGGTGCGCACCCCGCGTCTGGGACCCCAGATGCACGCTGCGGTGGAAGCCAGCCTGAGCGCCGCGGGCCGCGGGCCGCGCACGGAACTCCAGGACGACGAGGACAGCTTCCCCCAGGGCGGCTGGGACACGGTCTTCCTGGTGAGCCTGCTGCTCCTGGGGCTGCCCGCCAATGGGCTGGTGGCGTGGCTGGCCGGCTCGCAGGCCCGGCACGGGGCGGGCACGCGGCTGGCCCCACTGCTGCTCAGCCTGGCCCTCTCTGACTTCTTGTTCCTGGCGGCGGCCGCCTTCCAGATCCTGGAGGTCCAGCACGGAGGGCACTGGCCGCTGGGGACGGCCGCCTGCCGCTTCTACTACTTCCTGTGGGGCGTGTCCTACTCCTCCGGCCTGTTCCTGCTGGCGGCCCTCAGCCTGGACCGCTGCCTGCTGGCGCTGTGTCCGCGCTGGTACGCGGGGCGCCGGCCGGCCCGCCTGCCCCTCTGGGTCTGCGCCGGGGTCTGGGTGCTGGCCACGCTGTTCAGCGTGCCCTGGCTGATCTTCCCCGAGGCCGCCGTCTGGTGGTACGACCTGGTCATCTGCCTGGACTTCTGGGACGGCGAGGAGCTGCCGCTGCGCGTGCTGGAGGTCCTGGGGGGCTTCCTGCCCTTCCTCCTGCTGCTCACCTGCCACGTGCTCACCCAGGCCAAGGCCTGCCGGCCGTGCTGCCGGCCCCGGCCCCCCGCCGCCCCCGGCTTCGCCCGCGTGGCCAAGACCATCCTGTCGGCCTACGTGGTCCTGCGGCTGCCCTACCAGCTGGCGCAGCTGCTCTACCTGGCCTTCCTGTGGGACATCTACCCCGGCTACCTGCTCTGGGAGGCGCTGGTCTACTCCGACTACCTGATCCTGCTCGACAGCTGCCTCAGCCCCTTCCTGTGCCTGGCGGCCAGCGCCGACCTCCGGGCCCTGCTGCGCGCGGTGCTCTCCTCCTTCGCGGCAGCGCTCTGCGAGGAGCGCCCGGGCAGCTTCACGCCGGCTGAGCCGCACACCCACGGGCACTCCGAGGCTCTGACTCTACCAGGGCCGTCCGCTGGGACCCAGCCACGGCTGGAACCCGAGGCCCAGCCTCCCGGGGCTTCCCCAGCCCAGCCACGGTTGGAGCCCGTGGCCCAGCCTCCTGGGGGTCCCCCAACCCAGCCACGGTTGGAGCCCGTGGCCCAGCCTCCCGGGGGTCCCCCAGCCCAGCCACACGTGGAGCCCGTGGCCCAGCCTCTCGTGAGTCCCCCAGCCCAGCCACACGTGGAGCCCGTAACCCAGCCACTATTAGATCCCGTGGCCCAGCCACACGTGGATTCCGAGGTTCAGCCACAGCCGAACACTGAGGCCCAGACCTCTGGACCCATTGCTGCCTCAGCCCCCAGTCCTGACGACAAAGCCCCCCCTGCCCCATCCTCAGATCCCACCCCAGGAGCCCCTGAGAACCCAGCCACGCCGACCACCCCTGAGGGAGAGAGCCTCGGTGATGCCCCACCGGACGAGACCCCCAGCGCAGGCCCCACATGAGGTCCTGGAAGGCCCCGGCCTGCCGGGGCAATGGAGGAGCCAGAGGGAGACAGAGAAGCCAGCCAGTGCCAGGGGCCGGAACATGGAGGACCCAGGGGTGAACACCCCCATGGGGCCACTTGGTCCCAGAAAGCAGCCCTGGGGGAAGGGAAACCAGGCAGCCGAAAGTCCCAGGCAGCTTGCGAGCGCCCCCCCGCCCCAGCACACACGGTCACCCCAGAGCCCTCTGAGGCAGTGCCGAGTGACCCGCTGGGTTCTGTCCACGCCCTGGCACCACACAGTAGCCACCTGCGCCTCAGCCCAGCTGGAGGAAGAACGCAGGGAGAACTTCCGCCCCCTTTGATCCCTCCTCCCCCCCTCCTCCCTGTCCTGCAGCCTGGACAGCAGGGCGCCCAACCAAAAGTCCTTGCAGAGGATGGGGGCTTCCAGGAGCCCGAGCCCAAGGCCCTAGCGGCCCACAAGCTGGCCTCGGCATGGCTGAACCCTCTCCACCAGCCCCCTGCAGGTGGTGCGGCTGGGAGAAGAGGCGAGGGCTGTGCATCCTGCTGCTAACTGGCTCAGATAAGAAAGTGTGGGAGTGCCCCCCCAGGGCCTGGCGCCCAGGAGGGGTGGGGGGAGCAGGTGCAGGGGTGAGAGTCAGTGAGGGGAGGCAGGCAGGTGGGCCGCCTGCCAGCCTGAGTGTGGCTCCAGGATCTGCCACCTGTCTGGGCTGCAGACAGCCAGGTGGCCTGGGACAGCGCGGGGCCGCTCCGTGACTCTGGAGGGCTCCAAGAGACGTCCAAGGCTGGCCCCATTCACGGCCCCCGCCCCCAGCCGCCAACACAGGGCTGTGCACAAGCCTCGTGGGGGCTGCGGGAACAGGGCGCTCCCGTCCCAAACTCCCCGATCTGAGCCCAAGGGCACCAGTGGGAGCTGTCCAGGCAAGGAGAGCTCTGGGCGCCCGTGGTTCCAGGGAGGGGCTGCCTTCCCACCCCCACCCTCTCCTGCCAGCTTTCCCCAGCCCGTGTCCCAAATCCCACCTCTTTCTCGTCTTCACCCCGCCTCCCATCCTTTCTCATTGGCTCCTCACTGTGACCGTCAGCAGCAGGGGCACAGGACTGACTGATGGGTGGCATGTCTTCCTCACGCGCGCATTTCAGCAGGCGGCACGGGCGGTGCAGCCGGACCCCGGGTCTACGCCCGGCTTGCTCCCAGCCTCCGTCTCCCCTGTGGAGTGGGGGAGCTCATGTTCCCCCAGCGGCGTTGGCGGCCTTGACCCTTAACTGAGCAGGAGGGTTAGCGCCCTGGTTAGTGATGGGATGTCGAGGCAGGTGGGAGGGACACTTCCGGGCAGGTGTGATCTACGGAACACTCATCCAGCGCAAACTCATCGCCTTTCTAGCCCACCTTCCACTTTGGAGGCACGTGTGTAGGCTCGAGGGGTCTCTGCTGACCCCCGGGGTGGTTTCAATCCTGGCCCCACCACGCCCCAGGTGTGCGACCTTCGGCAAGACTCTTGGCCTCTTCAGACTCGGTCTTCTTATCTGTAAAATGGGCATGATAAAAGCGTTTGATCTCGGTGCGGTGGTTGAATCCTTGCCTGCACGGCAGAAGTACTTATTCATTGTTAGCCATCATTGGATTACACCAGCAGGAGCCCCAGGCCAGGGACCAACCCTGAGCCACAGAGCCCACCCGCCTGGCATTGTCCCAGTAAGGCCAGGAGGCAACTGGTTGAGACAGGAGTGTGTTACTGGAAACGGGACGGGAGAGAAGGGAGGAGGGCAAGCACAGTGGACCGACCAGACAGCAAGTGGGGGCCGGCAGGAAGCCCAGCCCCCGGGGTGCCGGGAAGGGGTGCCGGATCTGTGCCAAGACCCCAGCCCCAGCGACAAGGTGGGCCTGGCGGGAGGACCCCGCCCCCCGCGCCTCTTCCTGCGAGGTGAGCGCCACCCTTGCCATCCTGCGGGGACACTCGCGGTGCCCCTCCTCCGCAGGGGCCCCAGAGCCCTTGAACCTGGCAAGAGTCGGTCCCAGCTCTGGTCCACCTTCCAACGCCCTCCGCCCCCAGCTTCATTGCATAAAAACACGCCCGTGAGCGCATCAGCCTGCGTGATGGAGCCTTTCACAGAGAGAATCCAGAGATACTTTCCTGGGGCGCACAATCGCGGACGCAGGAGAGGGATTCGGGAACTTCACGGGAGGCGCACACTGTGACAAAACTACGCACGGATCGCCAGTTTGCAGCAAAACCAACTTACCTTCCAATCCCATTTTCCACGCCCTTGGGAGTGGAGTGAGGGGGAGGCAGTGGACGCTGCGGGGCTGTGCGCCCCCGGGCCGGCTTCACCCACCGCGGGCCGCCTCGCGAAGCCGCCGCCGAGCAGCGGGAAGGGCCCGCCGAGGGTCCCGCGCCCGCCCGTGCGCCCGAGGGGCGGGGCTCCCCAGGCCCCGCCCCCGGCTCGCGCCCCGCCCCTCCGCGCGTGACCTCGGCCCCGCCCCCGCCCCGGCTCCTCTGTCACTTCCTGATTCCCGCTTCCTGCTTCCCAGAGGCCGGGATCCGGAGCCGCCCCAGGCCGGTGCCGTAGCCCCCGGCGCCCCGGTGAGCGGTGAGCGCGCGGGGACGGAGCTGGGGACGCGGGCGGAGCTGCGGGGCGGGGCCCCGGGGAGCCCTCCCCTCGCCGCGCCCCACCCTCGGTCCCGGCTCCCCCGGCCACCAGCCTCTGCCCCCCCGGCCGGGGTCCCTGGAAGTTGGGCCCGGTTCTGCGAGGCCGCTTAGGGATACCCGGCGGCTGGCGGCGGCGCCCTGGGCCCGGTCCTGCTGAGCCCCCTCCTCCCGGGTCGGGCTCCCTGCAGCGCCCGGCCGCTCGGAACTGGGGCGCCGCTCGGCCCCCCGTGGGAGACCGCTCCTGCCCATCACCCAGCCGCCAAGTCGCCGGGCAGCAGGGAGGCTGCTCGGATCCGGCTGCGCCCTGGAGAGGAGCTGGCCTAGCCTTCCCCGGCGAGGACGAGGGCGCCTCCCACCCCTCCCCTCCCCGCAACACCCCCGCCCCCAGCCCAGGCCCGCAGGACTCCGCAGGGGCCAGGGCTTCAGCCCGCAGCCCGGGGAGGTGGTCAGGGGTGTGCACCTGTGGCCCCGCTCTGTACCGGGAACTGAGGGGGCGGGGTTAGGGCGCCCAGCCCCCCGTGGCCTTGCCCACTTCCTCTCGCTGACCCAGGGCTGCGGCCTGCAGACATGTCCTTCCGCAAGGTGGTCCGGCAGAGCAAATTCCGGCATGTGTTCGGGCAGCCGGTCAAGAACGACCAGTGCTACGAGGACATTCGGGTGTCCCGTGTCACCTGGGACAGCACCTTCTGCGCCGTGAACCCCAAGTTCCTGGCGGTGATCGTGGAGGCCAGCGGCGGGGGCGCCTTTCTGGTGCTCCCCCTAAGCAAGGTGGGCCCCTGGGGGTCGGGAACAGGACCGGAGGCACCCGACCGCACCTGCACAGCCCTTCTGAACCCCCCCATCTCAGCCCTCCCTGATCTGCCGGGCAGGTGTGCCTGCAGCCAGAGCCACCTCCCGGGAGGTGTTAGCCCAGAGAAAGTGTTTTACTGCCTGCGGGGTCAGGGTCAGGGTCAGGGGGCGGGCCCCGGGTCTGTCTGCCCACCAGGTGGGTGGAGGTCAGGGTTGGGGGCGGGCCCCTGGGTCCTGCCCACCAGGTGGGTGGAGGTCAGGGTTGGGGGCGGGCCCCTGGGTCCTGCCCACCAGGTGGGTGGAGGTCAGGGTCAGGGGGCGGGCCCTTGGGTCCTGCCCACCAGGTGGGTGGAGGTCAGGGTCAGGGGGCGGGCCCCTGGGTCCTGCCCACCAGGTGGGTGGAGGTCAGGGTTGGGGCGGGCCCCTGAGTCTGTCTGCCCACCAGGTGGGTGGAGGTCAGGGTCAGGGGGCGGGCCCCTGGGTCCTGCCCACCAGGTGGGTGGAGGTCAGGGTTGGGGCGGGCCCCTGGGTCCTGCCCACCAGGTGGGTGGAGGTCAGGGTTGGGGGCGGGCCCCTGGGTCCTGCCCACCAGGTGGGTGGAGGTCAGGGTCAGGGGGCGGGCCCCTGGGTCCTGCCCACCAGGTGGGTGGGACGCAGCCACTGTCACTCCCACGGGAGGAAGAGGACGCTGGGTCTCCGGGAGGGATGCTGAGCCCCCGCCCGCCCCCACGCCTGCAGACCGGCCGCATTGACAAGGCCTACCCGACCGTGTGTGGGCACACGGGACCCGTCCTGGACATCGAGTGGTGTCCCCACAACGACGGGGTCATCGCCAGCGGCTCCGAGGACTGCACAGTCATGGTGAGGCCCGGGGCGCGCTGGGCGGGGGTCTCGGTGCGGCTGCAGGAGCCGGAGGGGGGCTCAGCTCGGCACCCCGCCCCCCGTAGGTGTGGCAGATCCCCGAGGACGGGCTGACCTCCCCGCTGACCGAGCCCGTGGTGGTGCTCGAGGGGCACACGAAGCGAGTGGGCATCGTCACCTGGCACCCGACGGCCCGCAACGTGCTGCTCAGTGCAGGTCCGCCCCGCCCCCTCCCCGCCCATCTGCCAGATGGCAAAGCCGGGCCTGCAGGGGCGGGGAGATGGGGCCTGAGCCTGTGGTCGCCTCCCGCCAGGGTGCGACAACGTGGTCCTCATCTGGAACGTGGGCACGGCGGAGGAGCTGTACCGGCTGGACAGCCTGCACCCCGACCTCATCTACAACGTCAGCTGGAACCGCAACGGCAGCCTCTTCTGCTCGGCGTGCAAGGACAAGAGCGTGCGCATCATCGACCCCCGCCGCGGCACGCTGGTGGCAGTACGTGTGCCCCCGCCCCGCCCACCGGGCCAGGACCCCGTCCACGGGCCCGCGGGCCCTGCCAGGCCGCGCACCGACCCATCTCTCGCCCGCAGGAGCGGGAGAAGGCCCACGAGGGGGCCCGGCCCATGCGGGCCATCTTCCTGGCGGACGGCAAGGTGTTCACCACGGGCTTCAGCCGCATGAGCGAGCGGCAGCTGGCGCTCTGGGACCCCGTGAGTGGCGCTGCTGGCCTGGGGGGTCCCTCCCTGGGGAGCTCCTCCGGTACCAGGCGGGCAGGAGTCGCCATGGAGTGGCCTGGGACTGCCAGGGTCTCAGCCCTGCCCTTAGCCACTGTCCCTGGGTCCTCGACCCGCTGTCGGCCAAGGCCAAGGCCCTCCCAGCCTGTGCCCCGGGCCACCCTGGGGCTGCCAGGAAGCCCCCCCAGCCCTGTGTTTCTGGCTGAGTGAGGTCGCCTGGGGGCAGACTTCCCAGTGCTTGCTCAGTGGCCTGAGTGGTCTTTAGGCCTGGAGGAGGCTGGGAGAGTGGGGTGCTGGGGTGCAGAGGGGCCTGGTGGGTGCCCCGTGTGGGCAGAGCCTAGAATCGGGCAGGCGCTGGCCCGCGTGTTGCCTGGCTGGCGCGAGGCGGCAGGGTCTGGCGTGCGTGGCCTGACTGTGCCCCCTCCCTGCCCCTCCCGCCCGGCCCCAGGAAAACCTCGAGGAGCCCATGGCCCTGCAGGAGCTGGACTCGAGCAACGGGGCCCTGCTGCCCTTCTACGACCCCGACACCAGCGTGGTCTACGTCTGCGGCAAGGTAGGGCTGGGCCTGCGGGGGCAGGGCGGCGGGGTGCCCCGGGGCTGACCGCCCTGCCCCCACAGGGCGACTCCAGCATCCGGTACTTCGAGATCACAGACGAGCCCCCCTACATCCACTTCCTGAACACGTTCACCAGCAAGGAGCCCCAGAGAGGCGTGGGCAGCATGCCCAAGAGGGGCCTGGAAGTCAGCAAGTGCGAGATCGCCCGGTGAGCGCCCCGCGGCGCCGGTCGCGCCCAGGGCTCGCTGGGGTCCAGCCTGGGGGCAGGGGGCTGGCCGGGAGCCAGGGTGAGAGGTGGGATCGTGGGCGGCTGCTCGGGTGGGAGCGGGCCCCGGCGTCAGTCGCGGAACCTCTGAGGCAGGGCCCCGGGGTCTTCTGTCAGGGGGCCTGGGCTGAGGACTGGAAGGGAAGTGGGGGGGTCCCGGGAGAGCCGACGGGGGCTCAAGCCAGGGCTCCACCCCCTCCCCAGGTTCTACAAACTGCACGAGCGCAAGTGTGAGCCCATTGTCATGACTGTGCCAAGGAAGGTGAGGCTGCCTGGCTCCTCCTCCCTGCGGCACAGGACCCAGGGTGGGCTGTGGTCAGCAGGCCCATTACACAGCCGGGTGTTGGGCTGTGCTGGCCAGGGGCTGGGCGGGAAGGAGCCACCACGGGGTAAACTGCAGCTCTACCCTGAGTGAACCGGAGGAGGCAGACGCCAGGCCTGCAGGCACGAGTGGCAGCTACGGTGGGCTTCCTGTAGGAGGCAGGACCAGCGGCACAGCGGGGGGGGGGGGGGCACAGTGCATTGTGGTGCAAGCCAGGCGGAGGCTATGGAGGTGGGAATGGGGAGTGAGGCAGGGCGTGTGGCTGCAGCGGACGGTCCCGTCCGGAGCCCAGCCAAGAGCCGCGGACACACTTCCATTATTCTCCGGCCGGCCCCGGCCGAGCGCTCCGTTCCCGTGCCAGGCACTTCTGGGAGCAGATCCAGAGTGCGGCTGATAGGGCCTGGCCCAGGAGCTCACAGACGTGGCCTCCTGAGTCCCCCGGAGCCACACAGCTGGCCCTGCCTCTCGCAGGGCTGATGTAGGAAGGTTGGGGGTGCTCAGAGGGAGCTGGCCGTGGTGCCTGGAAAGCCGGGGACAGAGGGCGCAGATCCGAGCTCGGGGCCACTGGGGTGCAAGCCCGGGGGCCGAGCGAGGGCCGCGGAGTGGCCCGAGGGTCAGCCCCGGAGGACCCCGACAGGGCCCGCCCCGCTGATCCGGACCCCTCCCCTCCCTGTGCAGTCCGACCTCTTCCAGGACGACCTCTACCCGGACACCGCCGGGCCCGAGGCGGCCCTGGAGGCGGAGGAGTGGGTGAGCGGGCGGGACGCCGGCCCCGTCCTCATCTCGCTGCGAGAGGCCTACGTGCCCAGCAAGCAGCGGGACCTCAAGGTCAGCCGGCGCAACGTGCTGTCGGACAGCCGGCCCACCAGCGCCGCCCGGCCGGCCGCCCCCGCGCCCGCCGCCCCCGCGCCCGCCGCCGCCGCCGCCGCCAGCAGCAGCCTCTCGGGAGCCGGGGTACGTGTGGCGCAGCGCCCCTCGCCGGCCGGCCGCAGCCTCCGCCTGGGGGTGGCCCCTGACGGCCCGCCCCGTCCCCGCAGGAGGCCGGGAAGCTGGAGGAGGTGATGCGGGAGCTGCGGGCGCTGCGCGCCCTGGTGAAAGAGCAGGGCGAGCGCATCGGGCGCCTGGAGGAGCAGCTGGGCCGCGTGGAGAACGGGGACGCCTAGGACCACCGCCCACGCCGCCGCCCCCTTCTCACTCAGCTTCTGCGGCAGGTCACGCCGGGCCGCTGGCCGCCACGGGTCCCTGGGGCTGGGTGGGGGCCGCTTTGCACCCCAACCCTGCCAGGGCCCTAGGCTGCGCCCGCGAGGTTTTTGTACCAAGCGCGCTCACTGCACTCCCGAGGGACCACCTTCCCCCACCCCGCCCGGCCCTGTGCCCCCCCCCCAGAGGGGGCAGGAGGATGGGCTCTCTATTTTCATTCCAAATAAAAGTCTCTTTCTAGAAGCCAGGTCTGACCTGCTGCTGCGAGGGTGGGGCTGGAGACCTGGGGGCATCACAGATGGGAGGGGCAGCTGTGGGGAAACTGAGGCAGAGGCTGTGTCCTGCTTTGGGCCTCGTGCCCAGCGCCTCCCCTTGGCTCCAGCCTCAGACGGGGTGGGGGTCAGGGTGGTCCTGGGGGCCAGGGCCCCACAGGGTTCCGCGGCAGGGAGGAGTGGGTGGGGTCTGTGGCAGGAACCGGAAGTGCCCCTGCTGCAGCTGAGACCTGCGCTCACTTCTCACTCGACGCGGCCTGAGCTGGAGGTGGGCGCCGGCGCAGAGGCCGCCCGACCCCGACCGATGGTGAGCCTGGAGCCCCCTGGGCTCCCGGGGTGGGGGCCCAGCAAGTCCGGGCTGGGATGACCTGGGCTGGGGGAGCTGAGGGAGCATCGCCCCCTCCCCTGCCGCCGAGGCCCAGAGGGAGTGAGACCTAGAATGAGTGGGGGGCGGCACTGGGCCTTCCTCCCTCCCTCCCAGCACCCCGCGCCAGGCCGGGCCCCGAGACCCGGGGTGGACCCTCACCCGCACCTCCCCGGGGCTGCGCCCGGCCCTGCAGGCTTGGGCAGATGGAGGCCTGCACCCCAGCACCCCTCCCCCAGCCCCACCTGCTGCGACCGCAGGCTTCCTCCGGCAGCGCGGCTGGCTGGCCCGGGCCTGGCCCGCGCCCAGAGGCCCCCGAAGATGGGGAGTCAAACGGAAACTTTGCAGCTGGGGCAGCCCCGGGGCTGGGGGAAGGGGCCTCCAGAATCCTCCTCGGGGCCCCTTCTGGGAGCCCACCGAGCAGAGGGGTTGCCTCTGGGTTGGTCCAGGTGCCCCCGTCCCTGGCCTCCCTGGCCCCGGCCTGGCCACACTCCCTACGCGCCAGGTACTGCTCTGGGGACTTGGCCCCTCCCCACACATCCCTGTCTCCCTGCAGCTTACTTCTGGTGGCAGAATGGGCAAGGGCAGGTGAGGGTGAGCCTGAGCCGCCACACGGCTCTGGCAGGGTCTGGGCTCCCGGCAGAGGGAGCAGCCGGCGCAGAGGCCCTGGGCGGGAGGTGGTCAGAGGTACGGGCCGACCCCGGGGCCGGGGCACAGTGCTCTCTGCCTGGCTGTCCCCTGAGGGCCACTCGTGCTGATGAGCCCCTGCCCGTCTCCCACAGGCTCTGCCCTGCGCCCTTGGGCTTGGGACGCTGCTGGCCCTGCCGGGAGCCATGGGCTCAGGGGGCAGCGAGGACGGCCTGGGCTCCGGCTCTAACTCTGTCACCGTGGTCCTGCTGCTGCTGCTGCTGCTGCTGCTGCTCACCGGCCTGGCCCTGGCCTGGCACCGCCTCAGCCGCGACTCCGGCGGCTACTACCACCCCTACCGCCTGGGCGCTGCGCTGTGGGGCCGCACCCGCCGCCTGCTCCAGGCCAGCCCCCCGGGCCGCTGGCTTCAGGCCCGGGCTGAGACGGGGTCACGGGACACCGACCCAGAGCAGCCGGAGGACCAGCGGGACGCCGAGGACGCCGAGGACGCCGAGGACGCCATCGGCGCTGAGCCCTGGGAAGCCGGGCAGCGGCGCGGAACGGGGTCCCGCCCAGAGCAGCCCCCCGAGCTGGCGGAGGAAGCCCACGACAGTGACACCGAGGGGGGCCTGGCCCTCGGCTCCCAGGGGCCGGCGTGCGCCGGGGGCAGCGCGGAGGCTCTGCTGAGTGACCTGCACGCCTTTTCGGGTAGCGCGGCCTGGGACGACAGCGCTGGCGCAGCCGGGGGCCAGGGCCTCCACGTCACGGCGCTGTAGGGGCCAGCCTCGGTGTCCCACCCGACACAGCCCCTCTCCTGTGCTCTGCTCCCCAAGCCGCCGCGCGGCCATCTCCACCCCCACTGCCACCTCCCCCAGTCCCCAAGGCGCCAGGCAACCTCGAAATAAACCGCTCCAGCCCCACGGTGCTCTGCTCCTGTGGCAGCCCCGCCCTGCCAGACAGGATTCTCCCGGCCCGGCCCCCGCCCCCCCCACCCCCCCCACCCACCCCGGGTTCAGCAGAGGAGCCAGCGGGGGCCATGATCCAATCCTTTAATTCTCCAAGGGCACGGGGTGGGGGCAGGGCGCCTGCAGCCCCGGTGCTCATGATTTGATTCCGGGGCACAGCACCCCCCAGCTGGGACCCCCCCTCACACCCATCCCCCGGGTACATCCCAGAAAGTGGCCCGGAGGGGCCCCCCACGGCTGCCCGCACCCCCGCCCAGCCCCTAGTGCCCAGGCCGCCCACGGCCCCTCTTAGACTTCCTGGTCCCGGAGGCGGGGCGGATGGGGAGGGGGGCCGTGCTGGAGGGCGGCGGTGGTGGAGGCAGCAGTGGAGGGAGAGGTGGCTCTGTGGGCTCTGGCAGGCCGGGGCTGGGCCGAAACCCCTCAAATGGGGAGAACTTGAGGGGGCTGCGGGGGAAACCGAGGCAGAGTCAGAGCCCCCAGGTACGTGGCTGTCGGCCCAACCCTCCCATCGGGCGTGTGCAGGGCGAGGGGTGTCCAGGAGAGGTGGGTCAGAGCCGGCCTCTCCCGCCCAGCCACACGCTGCGCCCCGTCCCCGGTACCTGATGGGGGTCCGGGGGCTGCTGTTGAGGCGCCTGGGGGAGCGCAGCTTGGGCTGGGAGGAAAAGCCCTCCTTGATGCTGTCCAGGACGGAGGGCGCCACGTACGTGAAGCCCTGCGGAAGGCACGGCCGGGTCCGGCTCAGCACTCAGCCACTGCTCGCTATGCCCTGCCCCGCCCTGCCCCGCCCCGGCCCGGCCCGGCCCCGAGCCCCTGGGCCCTCACCAGGAAGGCCTGGTTGGCGCTCTCACTGAGGGCTGTGTCGTCCGGGCTGTCCACGGGTGTCTGCTTTGTGAAGCGGACGTCGAACTGGCTCACGTCCTCCTCGGACTGCTGTGGGCGCGCAGGCGGGGGCGGGGTCAGGGGGCAGCTGAGGTGCGGGTCCTGCACCTGCCGCCCGCCCGCGGTGGGCCCCCACTCACCAGACAGGGCCTGAAGGGGGGGTCCACACGGCGGGCCAGGAGGTCATCCCAATTGACGTGCCGGAAGAAGGGGTGCCTCTGCGGGGTGGGGGTGCCCAGACGTGACCACGGCTGCCTACGGGCTCCCCACTCCCACCCCGGGCGACACACTCTGCCCTCGGGGCCGCTCCCAGACGCACCTGCACATCGGCAGCGTCCGCGGGCCCACCCCCGATCCGCTGGCTGGGATTCTTCTTCAGAAACTGCGGGAGCAGGGCAGAGGGTACGGGCGGGGGTGTGCGTGGCAGGGGAGGGGTGCGAGGGGACGAGGGCCAGCGCCTCCGCCCCTGACCCCCGAGGACTTGCGGGCCGGGTCCGCAGGCGCCAGCCCAGGGCGCTTCCACGAGGCTCCGGCTCCAAGTGCCCACCGAGCGCCGCTCCCCCCCCCCCCCCGCACCCCTCTCTGATGAGCTCAGCGTGACCGCTCTCCCGGGGACCTGGACACGGGGCCTGTCCGGGCGCAGCACCCCGCGGCTGAGCCCGCCCTCGTGGAGACAGCGGGCGGCCGGGCTGGGCGCAGGCTGGAGGGGCCCACCTTCTTCACGAGGTCCCGGGCGTCCGGGGTGAGGTAGGGGGGCAGCACCAGCTTCCCCTTCATGATCTTGTCCATGGTTTTCTTCCGGTTCTCTGCAGTGAAGGGAGGCTGGAGGAGGCGGGAGGTGAGAGGAGCCTCAGGGGCCTCCCCCAGGTGCTGCCCTGCCCCGGGAGGGGTCTCCCGCACCCCTGCCCCCGCCCGAGGAGGCGGGACTTGCCGATCCAGTGAGCATGTCATACATCAGCGCCCCCAGGCTCCACCAGTCCACTGCCCGGTTGTGGCCACTGCGCACCAGGATCTCGGGGGCCCTGGGGGCCAGGCACACCGGTCAGTGCCGCCAGGCCCTTCCTGGCCACCCCGCCCCCCCAATCCCTCGACCAGCCGGGGGCCCCTTACATGTACTCGATGGTGCCGCAGAAGGTGTGGGTGACGGCACCCTCGTGAATGGACTCCTTGCACAGCCCGAAGTCTGTCAATTTGATGTGGCCTGTGGGAGAACGTTCCGGGGGTCAGGGCCGACCTTGGGCCGACCCTGGCCTCCCCGACCCGCCACGCCCCCGCGCCGCACCCTGGCTGCTCAGCATAATGTTTTCAGGCTTCAAGTCCCGGTAGATGATGCCTTGGGCGTGGAGGTGGCCCAGGGCCAGTGTGATCTCGGCCAGGTAGAAGCTGCAGAGACAGGACAAGGTGACGGCAGGCCCGGGGCTCCCGGGGTCGCCTGCGGAGGGGGCGGGAGCGACACCCACCAGGCCGTGTCCTCCAGGAAGATGCCCTCCCGCTCCAGCTGCGTGAAGAGCTCGCCACCTGCGACACAAAGTTGTCAGCAGCCGCAGCTGGGCCCCAGCCCCGTCGCTCTCCGAGTCTCCGTCACTTCTCGGGGGACGCGGGGCTCGGAAATCCCGCCCTACCTGCCTCACAGAGCTGCCGTGGGCATTCGGTTCAATTCAGCAAACATCTACCGATGCCTACGCCGTGCCCGGCCCGGTGCTGGGCGTAGCTGGGGCAGAGATGGGGAGACCCTGCCACTGCCCTCGGGCCGTGCATTCTAACGGAAAGACAGACCGGACAGCGACCCCAGAGCCCCCCGAGTCTCAGACACAGTCCCGACAGGACAGGACAGAGAAGGCGGCAGCGAGGGGACGGAGCGCAGAGCGAGGCGGCGGCGGCGGCGGGAGAAGCCGGCCCAGGCCACGTCCTGGCGAGCGGGGCTTCGTCTGGGCCGTTAGAGCCGGTAGCTGGGAGCAGAAGACAGAGAGGAGTCGCGTTCTAGGAAGAGGGCCCAGCGGCGGCTGGAGGAGATGCCAGAGAGCGGGTGAGCCGGGGCCTGGGCCCAGGGGCGAGACGGCTACGCCCCCGCCGCCCCCGCCGGGGCCAAGCAGCTGACCGGACGCGGGGAAGGAGCAGATGCCGACAAAGCCGCCCTCTGGCCTCCAACACAGACCCCCCAGCCCACGGCCCACCCCGACACGGGGAGGGCCGCGCCAGCTGCTGCTAGACGTTTACTGAATGAACGAAGGGGCGGGGGCGCGGGGGTCAACCGCTCACCTCACCCCCCAAGGCCCCGCCCCTGGCTCCTCGGGTGCCCCCCGCCACGCCCGTACCACTGAGGCACTCGAGAATGAGGTACAGTTTGCCGCCCGTCTGGAAGGCGTAGGCCAGCTCCACGATGAAGGGGTGCTTCACGGACTCCAGGATGTTGCGCTCGGCGCGCGTGTGCGCCGTGTCCTTGGCGTTGCGCACAATCTTGGCCTGGAGACGCGGGGTGGGGGGGGCGGGTAAAGGCGGGGCTCCCTCCAGCCACCAGCCGGGGTCACTCACTGGGTTTCTCCAGCGCTGTCAGCATTGACCTCTGACCTCCGCACCACCACTGGACAAGGCCTGTCCTGCGCCTCAGGGCGTCCCCGGCCCCGCCCACACCCCCTCCCCAGACACCAAGTGCCGACCCACGGCGGCCCCACGCACCCCCACCCCCCGCCCCGGGCTGCGGCCCCACGCACCCCCACCCCCCGCCCCGGGCTGGCACCGCCGAAGCACGGCGGCCCCACGCACCCCCACCCCCCGCCCCGGGCTGCGGCCCCACCCCACCCCCACCCCCCGCCCGGGGCTGGCACCGCCGGCCTCACCTTCCTCAAGACCTTCATGGCGTAGATCTTGCCCAGGTTGCTGCCTTGCACCTTCCGCACCTGGAACACCTGTAGGGGGGGGGGGGGACGGGATCAGCTTCCCTGCCCCACCCCGGCAGGACCGGGCGGCCTAGGCCCACCCTAGGGCGGGGCGGGTGAGAGGGCCGGCCCCTCCCTCCTCCCTGTCCCCCGCCCTGAATCCCATCACAGGTGCCGCCTGCCTCGCAGGTCTGCTCTGTCCCAGGGCTGTGCCGGAAGCGGCCGGGCGGCGGGGGCGCGCGCGCGGGGTGGGGGCGTACCTTGCCATAGCCCCCCTTGCCCAGCACACGGAGCAGCTCGAAGCAGTGGGGGCCGATGCGCTCGGGGCCCGGGTTCACACTGGTCTCGGTCAGCTCCACCTCCTCATAGTGTCCCCCGGGCCTGCGGGCGTACAAGTGAGTGGGGGGAGCGCCTCCTCACTCGCCCCCACCCCCCAACACGACCCGCACTCACTCCAGGCCAGCAGCCCTCAGCTCGGCGAGCGGGCACACGTCCTGTGAGAGACCGAGGGGTAAGGGCGAGCCAGGGGCCAGGTGCCTCCCGCCGCCCCCCGAGCTGGGCTGCTCGGCGCAGAGAAGGGGGTCCGGACCGGGGAGGGGACGCCGAGGGGCGAAGGGCGCATCGGGGAAGGGGCTGGGGCCCGGAGGGAGCCGGGGTGGGCGCGGGGATCTGAGAAGGATCGGGAGCGGCAGGGGTCAGAGCCCTCCGGCCCGGGGTGGCAGCAGCTCCGGGGTCTCACTCACCGCGGGACTGAACTCTGGCTCGCCCTCGCCCTCGCTGCCTTCCTCCGTCTCCAAGTCCAAGTCAAACACGGCCGCCATGGCCGCGCCGGCCCCGCGGGCCCCTCCGGCCCCGCACCTGCCGCGCTCTGACTGACAGGCCGGGGCCGGGGCCGGACGTCATCACTCCGCGACAGCGGCCGCGCGCGCGCGAATGACGCGCAGAGGCTTTGCCCTCTCTGGGGCAAGCCGCAAAGCCGGGTCAGGAGGAAAGATGGCGTCCGCGCAAGGCCTCTCGGGAGTTGTAGTCCAGGAGTGGCGGAGCTCCCTCCTTAGCGCTTCCGGGACCCGCACTGGCGAGGAGCGACCTGCAAGGCTCCCTTGTGGGCTCCGGGGGGAGTTGGAGCTTGGACGGGGCGCAGTAGGAAGTGCATGCAGATGTGAGTTTCAGTGCAATCTGTTGGAGCCGCGCCCTGCTGGGCTGGCTGGGTGGCCGGGGGCAGGTTGCGACCCCTCTGCTCGCCCCTGAAAGAGGGGCGGCTGCGTCAGGCTCTCCCTGAGGCGACTCGGCCGGGCGCCCCTGCGGACCAGACTTTTAGGGCGTGAGCAGCGCGCTGCTGCTCCGGTCGGTGCCAGCCTCCCGCCCCAGCGCGCCCAGGGCTAGCTGGTCCACCCGAGCATCCTGGCTTTGTGCCGTCGGAGGCACACTCGGTGATTCAGCTGCTCGCCGCCGACAGGCGCTTTAGACAGCTTCGCTGAAACAATGAATGAGTGGGCACCCAGGCCGCTCAGGGAGTCTAGACTGGGCCTGCATTCGTGCGGGGTGGAGCTCTGGGGGAGGGGGGCCGAGCGGGCCTGGAGAGTGGGTTCTGGCCATTAGGACCCGCCTGGAGGTGCCTCCCACTTGCACAGGGGAGCCTGGGGATGGGTTGAGATGGTCAGAACCGCAGGGTCTCCAGGCTGGCACACGCTGGCGCTCATCTGGTTGCATAGGGCCCCCGGTTGTAATTCCACCAAAGAAAACCCTCAGCTTTGGGCTCCGATGCGGACTGATCTGTGGGGTGGGAGCTCCAGGGACCGCAGGTGTCCCCCGCCCCTCCCCCGCCTCCCCTTTTGGCTGAGCCGGGGAGCTGTCCAGTCGAGGGAACTTCTGCAAACCCCAGAGACATCACTAGTGTATCAGCCTTTATTGGGGAAGGGAGTGTGGGCCGCCGTGCGCGGGCCCCGTGCTGCGCAGGTCTTCAGTCTCCCTGCTGAACTCAGGGGCAGGTGCCTGCCGGAGGCCGAAGCGCAGACGCTAGGGGTGGGGGGCTGGGGGAGCCTGGGGGGGAGCCTGGGGCATGGAGGGAGGCGTTCACAACGACTCGGGCACAGCAGTCACAGTGCCTGGAAGCGGAGTTGCGCGTTAAGACTTAGTAAAAGGCAAAACCCGGCGTTCCTGGTGTCCCGTGACCCTCCGCCCGCGGTGGTGTCATCGTAGGGCAGCCGCGTTTCCTTTGTGAGCTCATTTGCTCGCCTGGAGGATGGGGGCGGCCGTGTCTGCCCTGGGGGCACGAGGAGAGAGAGGCACTGCCGCCTCTGGCCTCTGGTCACTGCTTCCACTGCTCACTGGGCCAGAAACTTGGAACTAGCCTGGAATTCAGGTCCCAAAGCCAGGATCGCTCCCTTCCTGTAGGTGGCAGGGAGGGAGCCGGCCTGGAGGGGTGCTGAAGAGAGGCGGGTTGGCCCATTTGCACCTGGGAAGGGCTGGGGGGTGGCAGCAGTGTGTGTGTGTGTGTGTGTGTGCGCACATGCGCACGCAGTTGCTGTCACACCTACAAGGCCAGAATCCTGGGGATGCACTGGGCCTTAGGGAAGGGCAAGGAGGCCCAGCAGCCCCCACCTCCAAGCTTCTGTGGCCCTCGAGACCAGCAGGCTTGGGGGTCCCGCAGGCCCCAGGGCAGGCCGGGCGGGGCTGGGAAAGAGCCCTGGGGGGAGGGGGGCTAGAGGGAGAGGCAGGGAGAGCCTCGGGGCGCCTCCCCCAGCACTTGGTCCCTGCCCCCTGGCCCCAGTGCTATTTGAAGTGAGACAGGAAGTGGGCCACCGGGTAGCTGGGCCTGTCGATGCCCAGGCCCTGGCAGAGGCCCAGCAGGCGCAGGCGGGCCTCGGCGGGGCTGGGCCCGGCGCAGGCCACGCTGCAGTAGGGCTCCTCATACTCGCCGGGCACCAGCGCCTCCTCCAGCAGGTTCAGGCGCAGCAGGCCCCCGTCGTGCAGGGCCTGCAGGGTCTCGCGGCTGGCGGGGGAGCTGAGCGTCTGCAGGTGCTGGGACACCAGGCACATGACGCCCACGAGGTGGCCCCGCGCGCGGGGGTGGGGGGGCACGGCCGGCCGCAGGCCACAGGCCACCATGGCGGCGGCCAGCAGCAAGTCCACACCGTACAACTCCAGGATCCAGTCGCGCAGGTAGAAGCCGCCCATGCGGGGGTTGATCTCGATGAGCCGGGGCCCCGCGCTGGTCAGCTTGAGCTCCACGTTGAAGACCCCGTCCAGCAGCCCACAGCCCAGGCAGCAGCGGAAGGCGGCCTGCACCATCTGGGCCTCCTGCTCCGGCGCCAGCCCCGTGGGCATGCAGGCCGCCGTCTCCGTGAAGCCGGGCAGCCGCGTGGGGCCGTTGTCGGAGACGAAGGCAGCCAGCAGGCGCCCGCCAAACAGCACCAGGTCCACGTCGTGCTCAGTGCCCTCCACGAACTCCATCAGCAACATGGCGTTGCCCCAGCCCAGCCCGATGCCCGGGTGGTCGGCCTCGGCCTGCAGGTCGCGGACGATTCTGGAGAAGTGCTCCCGGCACTGTGGGGCGTCCTCCACCAGCCGCACGCCCACCGCGCCGGCCCCGAACTCCAGCTTCATGACGCCGGGCAGGGGCACCTGGCGCACGGCTCTCTCCACGTCAGCCTCGCTCTCCAGCGGGCAGCAGGGCACGGCGTGCAGCGAGGGCGCGGGCCAGGGCGGGCCGCGGCAGCGCAGCAGGTGCAGCTGGGTGCGGCTCTTCTGCTTGGCCAGGCGCATGGCGGCCGGGGGGCTGCAGGGCAGACCCAGCTCCTGGCACAGCAGGGCCGTGAGCACCAGGCAGTCGTCCCAGTAGGAGAAGCAGCCGTCCAGCTGCAGGCCGCGCGCCCGCACCAGCTCCGCCAGCCGCCGCGCATTCTCCTCGTCCCGCCGGTGCTCCGTCACGTCGAAGTGGATGAAGGTGTGCACCAGCTGGGACGCAAAGTGGTTGGGGTCCGACTCCACCAGGTGCAGCTGCAGAACCACAGGAGGGGGCGCACCCAAGTCAGCCGGGGGCTGGGGAGCCAGGAGGGGGCGGGAGGATGCACTCCTACCCTCGGGGTGACTCCCAGGGCTGATGGAACAAGTGGGAGCCTCGGAGATGGGGCAGGGAACCCAGCCTGCAGGGGAAGGGGGCGGCGACGGAGAGCAGGTGATGTTTGAGCTGGGAGCTGAACCAGGGAGGCGGGGGGTGCTGGGGTGAGCGAGGGGAGGCCCCCACCCCTGTGCTCCTGACAACAGGCGGGGGAAGGGTGGCTTGGTTGTCATTCACTCCCCGTGTTCTGCACACTGGGAGGTGCCCCCAGAGGAACCCAGTGAGCTGGGACCCAGAGCAGAGGGGCAGGCGGGGGGCTGTCTTCACTGTCACACGGGCCTCCGGAGAGGGGGGACAGCCCTGGAACACACAGGGCAAGGCAGGCAGTGATCGGGAGGAGCGGACCAGCTGCTCATCGGGGATACAGATGTCCACCCTCCTGACCGGCTCCAGGCTCTGCAATGCGAGCCGAGCCGGCCGCCGTGAACTTGGGGGTCTGTGAGCTGCTCTGCAGCCGCCTCCACGCGGGCCCCGGGTGCCAGGTGTCCGCCGGGTCCCCGGGACCGAGCCAGGCCAGGCCAACCCTGAGCGCCGCTCGCGTCTCCGGCTCCTCTTCGCTCCCTTTCCGTAGAGGACCGGGGGGCCTTTCACACCAGGGTCTGAGTCTCCCAACTTCGGCAGCGCGGCGGGGACGCCCCGCCCCTCTGCCTCCGGCTCCACCCCCTGCGCCGGGCCCCGCCCCGGGCCTCCAGCCCCGCCCACTGCCGCCCGGCCCGGCCCGCCCACTTGAGTCCGTAGTCGCGCACCGCCCCTGGGCCTCCAGCCCCGCCCACTTTTGCCAGGGCCCCGCCCCTGGGCCTCCAGCCCCGCCCACCTTGAGCCCGTAGTCGCGCGCCGCCTCCCACACGAACTTCTTGCTGACGCCGCCGGCGCCCACGAGCAGCAGCTGCTTGCCCTCCATGAGGTAGCGCGCCGAGCGCCGGAGCATGGTCTCCACGAGCGGCGCGGCCGCCGGCTCCTCCGCCGCCGGCCCCAGGCGCGGCGCGGCCCACAGCGCCTCGAGCGCCCCGCACGCCTCCAGACACCGGCCGCCGTTCAGCTCCAGGGCCACGGGGGTCAGCGCGCGGCCGGCCACCGTCAGGGCGAAGTCCACGCCTGGGGGGACGGGGTTGCGGGCTCAGCGCGGGCGGCCCGCAGCCCGCGCCCCGCGCCCCGCGCAGCCCGCACTCACCGAGGAAGTCGGTGCGGGCCCGACGCCCCCCGCGCTGCTCGGCGCTCAGGCCGGCCTCCAGGGCCAGCACGGCGGCCATCGCGGCCTCGGCCGCCGCCTTGACGCGCTGCCTCACGGCCTCCACCTGCGCCGCCTCGCCCAGGCCGCACTGGGCCAGGGCCACCTCCAGGGTCCGGGGCACGGAGCTCTGGTGCCGCGGCGGCCTGTCCCCGCGGCCCACGCCGCACACCACCTGGGCAGGGGGCCGCTCAGGGGAACTGGCCGGGAGGGGTGCCCGGGACTCCCCTGTGCCAAGGTCTGGGCCAGACCCCCACTGGGCACTCCCACGCCCATCCCCCGAAGCACCTTGAACTTCCCAGATCACGTGTGCCCCTGCCACTGCCCAGCTGGGGTCTCTGCTCCCTGAGGGCTGGGGGGGGGCGCCTGTGTCAGCACCCTGGGTGCCCTGGCCTTGGCACCTCCACCAGAGCTCCCGTGGGACTCGCTGCTCAGCCTGGCCCCGAGCTGGCTACCTGCAGCTTTATCAGGGACCCTGGGTGGGTCACCCTCTGGGGCATTCTCGGGGCTGGGGGGGGTGGGGGGAGACACAGATGTCAAACCCAGGATTCCCACAAGAGGTAACCCAGGCCTTGTCCCCGCCCCCACCCCCACCCCGGAAGGAAATTTTGTCCTCTGCCCAGAGACAACCTAGGGGCCCTGGCCAAATCAGGGGGCGGGGCTGGGGAATGACAGGCAGGTCACCACCCGCCCACTTCCCCCGGGCCACACTCACTTTGCTCAGCAGAGGCCTGTCCCCCTGGGTCCGACACACCACAGCACAGATGCGCACAGCCAGCTCAGGGCCCGGCGAGGGGCCGCCTGGGGGGAGACCCGGAGGCTTGAGCAGCCGGGAGGCCCGCGCGGAGCGCCCACCGGCCGGCCCGGGCAGCGCTCACCTGGGAGGGGCAGCCAGGCAGGCGGGCACACGGCCTCCACCAGGACGCTCTCCTCCTCCTCCAGCTTCTCCAGCAAGACCAGCACCGTGTCCGCCACGGCGCCCGGCTCGGCCCGCGGGTGCAGGCGCAAAGCCTGCTGCCCCCGCCAGCGCCAGCCGCTGAGCTTCACCACCACCTGCAGCGGGGAGGGGAGAGGGGCCTCCTGGACACCAGCCCGCACCCCTGCAGGGCGGGACGCTCACGCCACCGGAGCCAATGAGTGGACCGAGGTGGGGGGCGGCAGCGGGGCTGGCGGTGGGGGGTGCTTCCCCCGCAGAGCTTGGCGGTGGTGCCAGGGGCCCCTCCTGCCGGCGTCCGGCCAGACCTCTGGGCAGGCGGGAGCCTGTTACCTGCAGGGCAGCGCCCAGGGCCTCGGAGCGCAGAAAAGCGCCCACTTCCTCTTTCACCAGGGTTTCCTGGCCCTCCTTGCCACTCAACTCCACCAGCCGCAGCCCAGGGCTGGCAGCCCCTCCCCGCAGCAGCCCCGGCGGCTTGTAGGCGAAAGCCAGGGTGGCTGGCACGGCCACGGTGCCCTGCTGGGCCAGCAGCCGTCGCATCAGCAGCCGATCCTCCAGCAGCCGGGCCAGCTCCTCGGACGCGCCTGTGGGGCAGCTCAGGTTGCGGGCCAGCTCGGCTGCCTCCCGGCCTAGGCCAGGCCCCAGCCCCAGGCCCGCCAGGAAGTAGGTGGCCCGGCGAGGAGGGACAAAGTCATCCAGGAATGTCAGGCCCCCCGGGTGGAAGCTCACGGCCTTGGAGACCAGCAGCGCCGCCTCACCCGGCTGCCCCGGTGTGGGCACCTTCGTCAGCCAAGCAGGGGACAGGCAAAGGAGCATGTTCCCTGTGGGGCAGAGGGAGGCAGTCCAGGGAAGGCTCCCCACACCTCACGCACGCACGCACGCACGCACGCACCCGCGCCAGCCCCGGCCTCTCCAGGGGGCAGCTGCACCCGGAACCCACCCTCCTCGGAGGGTGGCAGCTGGTCCCCTGGAATGCAAGTGCTTGCCAGGGTTGGTGGGTATTTTGGGATGTGGCTGGGCCAGGGCGGGGCTGCCCTTTCTGTAGGAGGGGAGGGGGGGTGGGGGAACTTGGGCCACACTCACCCGGGCTCTGGACGCCCCCCTCCAGCAGCACGGACAGAAAGGTGCTGGGGGACCCCAGAATGCACAAGGTCACCTCGGCCCCGGGGCAACCTCGGGGGGGGGGGAGAGAACATTGCCAAGCTCACCAGGGGCTCCTCTTGCTGCTTGCCCACCTCCCCCGGCTTCTGCCCTGCCCTGCCCCTCGGGCCCCAGCTCCTTTCTGGGATGGGAGGCGGGGAGGTTAGCTCACAGGGCACGCGGGCTGGGCGGCCGGAGACCCGGGTTCTGCCCCAGCTCTGCCTTTCTGCGTGACCTTGAAAGGTCATTTTCCCAGAGCCTCAGTTTCCCAGTGTGTACAATGGGGCCGAGCCTGTGGTCCTCCTGTGTCCTAGCTGTGAGCCCTCTGCCTACAGAAAAGCCTTGTGGCCACCTGACACGGGAAGAGTCCTGCTCAGCTCCCCAGAGATTTCCCTGGGCGCTTCTGCTCCACAAAACAGGGTTTGCAAATCCTGCGGCTGGATCCTGGGGTGGGGGCGGGCAGGGGGAAGAGGACACAGCCCTGACCTCTGACCTCACTGGTGCCGAATGCCCTTGGAAAGTTGCCTGCCTGCCTTGAGACCCGACCAGACCCCTGGGCAGGATGGGGGTGCTGGCGCCCGCCCCGCCCCCGCTCCCGGCCATGCTCCCGCTCCGTGGAGCCCTCGGGCACCTGTGCGGGGCACCTGGCTGCGGTCCTGAGTCTCCGGGAGCCCAGCTTGCTGTAGACAGCTCTGCAGGAGGCTGTAGTGATGGACAGTCCAGGCCCGGGCCTCAGCCCCCTCCGGGGAGCCCTTGCAGTCCAGGCCCACGTCCTGGCGCCAGGAGCCGGGGAAGCAGCTGGTGGGCGGCAGGCCGGAGCCCCCTCCCCATGGGCCCTCCTCTTCCTCCACATCCTTGGAGCCCAGCGGGCAGTCCCACTCGGGGCCCAGCGCGTCCAGGGAGAGCTGAGGGGGACAGAAGTGGTTGGTCTCGGACGGGGTGGGCGAGGGGGCGCGGTAAGCCAAAGAAGGGCTAAGCCCCCACTCTCCCAGCCCGGGCTGTCAGTGGGACGGCATGGGTGCGAGCACTCTGGGAGCTGTTGGGAGCGCTGCCCGGGACGGGCGGCCGCAGGGGCAGCAGGGACTGTCCTGGCCAGGTGCTGGCAATGCTTCGTTGATCAAGGCGTGGCCCACGTAGCTGTCACAGGACAGGGAGCAGCCCGGGAGCGGTCCCTGGGCTGCTCCCTTCTCTGGGCCCAGTGCCCCGTCTCCCTGCCCCGAGGGGCTGCTGCACCGTGGCCCGCAGCTGTGCACGCGGGCTGTGCCGGCACGGGAGGGGAAGGCTGCCACTCCGAGGCCTGAATTGCTTTCTTTGCATGAAATCTAACACCCCTGCCCCCTCCCAGGCTGGCTGACTCCCCAGCGGGGCTGCTGAGCCCGTGGGGACACCCGCGCCCTGCAGTCTCCTGCCTCCCAGGGGACAGCCCGGGCCACCTCAGTGCAGCCGCTCTGGGTCCATCCCGGGGGTGCTGTGGAACTTGGACTCAGGGACTCACTGGGTGCCGCGGCTGGGCCGGGCCCCAGATGAGGGCTTGAGTCCAGTTTGGCAGGGCAAACTCCCAGCCTCCATGTCCTCTTTACAAGGGGTGCCCGGGACGGCCTGGACCAGGGTGCCCTGCTCTGTCCTGCACCCCGGGAAATACTGTGCAGTGACAGTGTCAAGGGCAGTAGCAGGCGGGCCTCGCTCCCGGGGCTGATGGGGGACAGACGAGGGCCTGGTGCACAGGAGCTGCTCCTCGCTGGCACACGGGGTGGGGGCAGGGTGTCCAGGGTGCGGAGCCCCGACGTGGGCTTGTCTGTCCAGGGCCATCAGCCCTGCCCCCGGGGCTCTGTCTCCAGGGACTTGGGCCTTCTGGGGGAGGGCCCACAGGAGACTCACCATCTGGCAGGTGCAGAGGCTGCGAGACTGATGGCAGAAGCAGGGGCAGAGAGACAAAGCAGGGAATCAGGACCGTCCAGCCCTTGAGACTTTGGGAGCCAAGAAGTGCCCCCCCCCGACGCTGCCACCTCTGTCCCGCTCCCGCCGGGAGCTGCCCAAGGCTCCCCACCCCCACCCCAGGAAGCAGGAGGAGAGGTCTGTGTCCTGCGATCCCGATCCCGTGGGGACCGCAGCCCCTGGCGCACACACCCCAGCCTGCGCCCCGCTGCGCTCCGTTTGCGTCGGCCGCGCAGGGGGATCAGCCTCTCCAGAGGAGGGCGCCCCGGGATGCGGCGGGGGTCAGGTGGTGTCGAGGGTCTCGTGTCCGCGGCCCCTGCCCGCAGCCCCCCTCCCTGGCTCCCCGGGAGGGCCCGGAGCCGGGGTACCTGGCGGGCGGCAGCGGCTCGGCCGGGCTCGGCGGGCGGACGCGGAGCGGTCGGGGCGCGGCGGCGGGGGCGCGGGCCCGGGCGGCGCCGCTTTATATAGAAGCGCCCGGGGCATGCCCAGTGTGGGGCTGGGGCGGCGCGGGGCGGACCCGGGGCCACCGCCAGGGACCCGTCGCCAGCGGCCCGCCCCGTCCCTCCCGCCAAAACGTCCCCGACCTGGGGACACGGTAGGGGGCAGTCGGACCCGCTCGAGGGAGCCGCTGACAGCCCCGGGAACCGGCAGCTGTGGAGCCGCTGAGTCCTGCCAGGGGCCAGGTGCACCCGGCTAGGGGCTGCCCGCCGGGCTCCCCAGGCTGCGCTGCGCCGCGCCGCGCCGCGCGGGAGAAGACCGGGAGACCCGAGCGAGAGAGATGGAGCCGGGCTGGCGAGGGCAGAGACTGGTACTAGGGCCGCCCTTGGGGGTGGGGAAGCCGGAGCAAGCCCGGCCCTGAGGCTGCCTGCTCCCGGCTCCAGCCCTTTGCCCTGCTGAACCCCGTCCCAGAAAGGCCTTGCTGGGCCAGGGTCTCCGCGCACCGCGGAGCCCCTCCTGAGCACCCCTGCTGACCGGGGCCACGGTGGAGCCACTGCAGGAGGGCGGTGGCAGTTCCGCGGGTACCCTCTGCTCTGCACCGGGGCTGTCAGATCCGCCCTGCGCATCCTCCCCCAGGTGAGCTGGACCCCTCCCCCACAAGACAGCCACGCCCAGGAGCCCTGACCTGGCACCCACAGCACACGCCCAGGGGATGGGCTGCCGGCCACAAGCTCATTCCTGGCAGCAACCCAGACACGCACACCCTGGGGTCCACTCCCAGTTCCCGGAGCTGCACAGAGGCTGGGCGCCAGGGCCCCTGGTCCCTGCACATCCCATCCCTACACTCGGTCTTCTCCATGCCCGGCTGGGCTGGAGCGACCTGTGAGCACCCCTGTCCACCACCCGAGGGGCCCAGAGGGCGGAAGGGACCTACCCAGGGCCCCCCTCCAGCCCACACAGCACACACAGCTTTGCAGGGCTCCCAGCTCCAGGGACACACGTGCGCTCCCTGCCGCCGGCCCCAGCTCCTGGAGCAGGGTGCAGCAGGCGCCCATCCGAGATGGCACGGGTGGCCTCAGCTGCCTCATGACCCCACGGCATGGATGCCACGCAGAGAGCTGAGCTTGGACATCGCGTGAGCAGAGCCCTGAGCTGTCTCATCTTCACATGGGATTCCTGTGCCCAGGCCTGGCTGGGCCCAGGGTGCTTGGCAGTCGGTGGGCATTCATTGGAAAGGCCGGCACTCGCTCGCTCGCTCGCTCTCTCTCTTTTAAAGATTTATTTGAAAGGCAGAGTGACAGAGGAATGATCTCCCACCCACTTGTTCATTCCTCAAGTGGGCGCGCAACTCGGGGCTGGGCCAGGCTGAAGCCGGGAGCCGGGAGCTCCCTCCAGGTCTCCCACGTGGGTGCAGGGGCCCAAGCACTTGGCCCATCCTCCGCTGCTTTCCCAGGCGCATTAGCAGGGAGCTGGATCAGAAGCAGAGCAGCCGGGACTCGAACCAGCGCTCAGATAGGGGCCCCGGCCTTGGAGGCAGCAGCTTAACCCACTGTGGCCCAGAGCCGGCCCAGCACAGGTCTCCTGATCCCGCACTGAGGCTGGGGGTGCGGAGCCCCCGCTCACGGCAGGGGCGGCGTTTGGGTTTCTCTGCCTTTTATACCTGAGGGAAGGAGGCGTGACTCGCCCCGGGTCACAGGTGAGCCGGGGATCCGGCCAAATGCACACCGGCAGGGTGTGCCCGCTCCCGGGCCACCAGGGCTGGGCACCAGCCATACTGGAGTTTGCCCTGTAGGTGAGAAAAATAAAAATCGAGACGTCCTGAGTTTAGTTACAAGCGCCAGAGGGTGGAGGGAAGGAGAGAGGGAGAGAAGTCCGTCAGTTAACAGCCTTGGGCCAGACGCGCAGCACCTGCTCGAAGCTCGTGTGCAAACCCCGACCGGGAGCGCCGAGGCGGGCGGGGCGTTTGGCACAAGGGGGAAGCCCCCTCCTGGAACCCCTGCACCCCGACTGGGAGGGCCCGGTGTGATCCCGGCTGCTCGCTACCAATCCAGCCTCCTGCTAGCGGGCAGCCTGGGAGGCAGCGGTGACGGCTCAGGGACCCGGGTCTCAGCCGGGAGCGGCGGACCTGGATCGAGTTTGGGCTCTTGGCTTCGGCCTGGCCCAGCCCTGGCCACTGTGATGACCTCGCTTCCCATTGCCTCTGTCTCTCTGCCTTTCAAACACAACGGAGATGAACAGTTTGTTTAAAAGACGCCCCCCGGGGCCGGCGCCGCGGCTCAATAGGCTAATCCTCCGCCTAGCGGCGCTGGCACACCAGGTTCTAGTCCCGGTCAGGGCGCCGGATTCTGTCCTGGTTGCCCCTCTTCCAGGCCAGCTCTCTGCTGTGGCCAGGGAGTGCAGTGGAGGATGGCCCAAGTGCTTGGGCCCTGCACCCCATGGGAGACCAGGAGAAGCACCTGGCTCCTGCCTTTGGATCAGCGTGGTGGGCCAGCCACAGCGCGCCGGCCGTGGCGGCCATTGGAGGGTGAACCAACGGCAAAAGGAAGACCTTTCTCTCTGTCTCTCTCTCACTGTCCACTCTGCCTGTAAAAAAAAAAAAAGCCCCCCAGGATTGACGGTGAAGTCCCCGTTGTGTCCTGCTTAGGACTCCAGCCAGCGAAGCCCTTGTGACGGAAGGGACCAGTGTCCCGCCGTCCCCAGACCCTGCCCACGGCCATACCACGCCGCCTGCCCCCTTATCTGCAGTCAGCGGCGCTCAGGGCCATGACTTGTTTCCTCTCCCCGGATTCCCACTACGAACGCCCCGGCTGTTTGTCTGGGTCTGGCAGGCACCTCCCGGCTCTGCCCAACTTGGGACCGGGTGGCTGTGCACTCATCCCAGGACCCGTGCTTTCTCCTGGCTGGCGTCCGCCAGGGTTCAAAAACCACTTCCTCCTGAGCTCTCTCGGGCTTGGCGGTGTCCGCTTTTTTTTTTTTTTTAATTTATTTTGCTTGAAAGTCAGAGTTACACAGGGAGAGGAGAGAGAGAGAGAGAGAGGGGTCTTCCATCCGCTGGTTCACTCTCCAATTGGCCACAATAGCCGGAGCTGTGCCAATCTGAAACCAGGAGCCAGGAGCTTCTTCTGGGTCTCCCACGTGGGTGCAGGGGCCCAAGCACTTGGGCCATCCTCCACTGCCTTCCCAGGCCACAGAGAGCTGGATCAGAAGTGGAGCTGCCTGGACTCGAACCGGCACCCATGTGGGATGCTGGCACTGCAGGCGGTGGCTTTACCCACTATGCCACAGCGCCGGCCCCAGCAGTGCTTGCTTTTAACGTAGGCAAAGGGAGGAAAATTTAGTGTGCGACCCAGGTCCAGGGCGCTGGGACTAGGAACAGGCAAAGGAGTGCAGCCCCACCTCCGATCCAGCTCCCTGCTGTGGCCTGGGAAGGCAGTGGAGGATGGCCCAAGTGCTTGGGCCCCTGCACCCGAGTGGGAGACCCGGAGGAAGCGCCTGGCTCCCAGCTTCTGATCGGCGAAGCTCCGGCCGTCATGGCCAATTGGAGAGTGAACCAGCGGATGGAAGACCTCTCTCTCTCTCTCTCTCTCTCTCTCTCTCTCTGCCTCTCCATCTCTGCAAATCTTTCAAATAAATAAACCTTAAATAAAAAAGAAAAGAAAAGAAAAGAAAAGAAAAGAAAAGAAAAGAAAAGAAAAGAAAAGAAAAGGAGTGGTGCAGCCCAGACTCAAACCAGCATCCGTATGGGACGCTGTTGTCGCAAGTGGCAGCTTAACCGGCTGCGCCGCCACGTCAGCCGCAGGGCCCCTTCTCCTGCGGGGACTTTAGCCCGGCACAGCGTGGGATGGGGGACACTTCGGGTGGGTGGTGGTGCCAGGTAGACACCGTGGGTCCCCCCTCTACTCCATGGGAGAGACCTGTGTGCCCTCCCTACTCAGATCCTCCGGGCTGGTGCGAGCTGACAGACGGCACGGTGCCAACACAGCTTCGGTGCACAGACTCGGCGCTCTCCAGCCAGGTGTGCAGGGAGCCGCTGGGGTCACCGAGGATGGTCCTGCAGGTTGCTCACTGCACAGAGGCACCTGGCTGAGTGGTGACTCTCCACTCTGCCACACTGTGCACCCAGGCCGGGCGAGCCACCCCCCTTCTCCCAGCAGGGGAGCCCACCTGTGGAGGGCTCAGGGGCAGGTCCCCCCAACCTGCTACAGCATTGGAGACGCCCCTCCCCCCCGCCTCTAGGCACAGGAGAGGGCGTGGGTGTCTGGGGATGGCTCTGAGCTGAGGGTGCCCAGGGCTGGGGCGTGGCACTCCAGAGGCCCGTGACCCAGACAGGCTGCGCCCTGCGCTGCTGCAGGATTGAGGGGTGGGGAGCCGAGAGGGCGCCCAAGGAGGGGTGGGTGTAAGGTTGCTAAGGGTGGGGGGCCTGGGTAGACTTTGGCGCTGCCATGAGCCGTGAGGGGCGTGGCCAAGCCCCCGCCATCCTGAGACTCAGGCTCCCAGGGAGAGCGCGGATTCGCCCAGGTCTCCCCGATCGGACCCAGGGCCGAGCCAGGCACGCAGCGGGCTCCGCGTGAGCACACTGGGAGTGGACGCGCTTCTGCAGCTCGCAGCCCTGTCGCTAGAACACTCCAAGCCCCAGCTCTGACGGGGGCCTTGCCAGCGTGGAGCACCCCACCTGCAGGTGCAGCGCTCGGCGTGGGTCCCGGCGCACTGGCAGCGGCAGGGACAGGCAGGGCTTGGAGACGGGCGCCGCAGGGACACAAGCCTGCACGGGCACCAGCCCTGTTGTCTGGGCGATGGCTCATGTCCCAGGCACCCACGGGGGCAGTTAGTGCGTGTGGGAGGGGGTTTCCATGGTGGCTGTCCCGAGGGGGCGCTCGGGGGCTCAGGGAGCGCAGAGGGCCGGCGGGACCTTTCTCCTTTGTGCTGGGCACACTGGGCCTTTGTTCTTGCCTGGCTCCCTTTGATGGATGGGACCAGGACCATGGGGGGGGGCAGACTTGGGCTAGAGGCCCCCCACCCCAGGGACTCCTGAAGCTGCCTGGGAGGAGGGGGGAGGGGCAAATAGGGGCGGGGCTCCACTCCGGGAGCCAGCATCCGTCAGGAGCCCTGCTCTGCAGGGTGCAGGTGCAGAGGCCTTACCTGCCCCCAGAGGCTGCACCACGCGGCTCGCACTTGGCGCCTGTCGCTGGTAAACACCTCCCCCAGCAGCCAATAGGCACCCTCGGTCTGTCCCCAGGGCGGGATCAGGGCCGGGAGGGCGCGGAGGATAGGAGGCGGGGAGGGAGCAGCCTGCCCAGGGTTGAGGGTGAAGGGCATTGCACCCAACGCCATCCAGGCCTCGGCTCAGACAGACTTTATTCCCGGCCCCCAGAGCCCTCGGGGGCCGCGCAGCCCAGCCAGCCGCTCACCCCAACTCCCTCGGCGCCGGCTTCGATCCTGGCAAAGGCCTGGGCACCAAGACAGCTCCGGCGGTGGGGAGCCAGCCTGGGCTCCCATTGGGGCCAGCTCTCATCCCGTGTGTGACGGCCCCTCCTCCACTGCCGGACCCTTGCCAGGAAGGGAACTGAGTCACTGGAGGCCAAGTGCGGCGCCTGTCTGTGGGGCCGGCATCGGCTGTCCGGGAGCTTGGCGCTGGCACTGGTGGGTGGCATCTTCAGAAGCGGGTGTCCAGGAAGGAGGTAGAGCCTCGGTGGGGCCTGGGGGGGCCCTCGAGGGGTGGGCCCCGGGCCCGAGTCAGGAGCCCGTGGAAGGTCTTGCCGCGGGTCTGAGGTTTGCGCCGTGGGGGTAGGGGCTCCTCTGGGGGCTGCACCACGATTTGGGGCACCTCCGGCTTGCTGCCTCCTCGCGCCCTGGCCAGCTGCTGGGCCTCAAAGATGGCCTGGGCTCCTGGAAGACGGGCCTGTGGCTGTGGCGATGGCCCCGGCGCTGCGTCCGACAGCTGGGCCAGCTGGACCCGGATCTCCCGCTGCAGGGCCCTCTCGGACAGGGCCACGCTGTGCACCTGCGGGGAGGGGCTGGTGCTGAGCTGGCCCCTCCCAGAGGGAGGCAGGAAGCCACGAGGTCAGGGAGGGGCGCGGGGGGGTGGGTAGCAGAGTCCAGGAAGTGGCTGAGGGCTGAGCGGGGCGCACACAGCCTCTCCGGGAGGGCCATGGGAAGCCGCGTTCGCTCGGGGACCAGGCCACAGCAAGGGGAGGGCGGGGGGCACCCACCTGCGACATGAAGCCCTCCTCCTGCAGCAGCGAAGCGGGGATGGCCCTCAGGGCGCCCAGGGTCTCCAGGAGCCCGGGGCAGGCGGCACGCTGCTCTGCGGTGCCCAGGGCCAGGCGCACCAGCGTCAGTCCCACGCGGAACAACACCTTGACACCTGCATGCCGGGGAGGGGCCCACTGAGGGAGCCAGCGTAGCCCCTCCTCACTCTGCGCCTGGAGCTGTCCTCAGGGTGGGCGCCCACTAAGGCCTTGCCAGCTTTAGGGACTCTGTCACTTGGGTTCTGAAATAGTCTAGGTGGAGCTCCGTCCCCCGACCCCAAGAGGGTAAGGCTCACGAGTGTGCGTGCCGTGTGTGTGTGTGTGTGTGTGGTCTCAGGCCTATCCTGCAGCCTCAAGACCCCTTACTGGCAGCCCCTGGCCTGTAGGAGCGGCCACAGGGATGACTGTCATTGTCCTCTCTCAGCCACACTGAGCAGGCCCCACCCCCCAGTCTGAGGCTGCTAGGGCGGTGACACAGGGATGGTGGCCTGACCTGTGGCTCTAAGACAGCCGGGGTCCTTCCCTGGGGGCCGGCCTGAAGCTTGCTGGGCCCACAGCCAGTGCTCAGTATATGATCGATTTCTATTAGGCGTAACCGGCAGGTGCAACACACAGAACGGAACTCAGACAAGTTATGGATGGGGACATCGAGACGGACCCCAGGGGCTGGCGCTGCGGCGTAGTGGGGTTAGCCACAGCCTGTGACGCCTGCCTCCCATATGAGTGTCAGTTTGAGTCCCGGCTGCTCCACTTCCCAACCATCTCCCTGCTAATGCACCTGGGAAAGCAACAGAAGGCAGCCCAAGTCCTTGAGCCTCTGCACCCCTGTGGGAGACCCGGATGAAGCTCCTGGCTCCTAATTTCGACCTGGCTCAGCCCCAGCCTTTGCGGCCATCTGGGGAGTGAATCAGCAGATGGAAGACCTCTCTCTCTTGCTCTCTCTCGCTCTAACACAGAATAAGGTCCGGGAGCCCAGCGCTTGCGTGTGCCACTCCCCTCACAGGCCCCAGTCTCCAGTCCCTGCGGCCTGGCGCCAGCCTGCCACTACCTCGTGGACCTGCTTACGTAGTCGCCCCTCATCGGAACGGAGGTCTCGCCCACCCAGGTCTCCCCAGAGAGCGGAGCCCTGCCTTCTCCCACCCATGCCACAGCCTCGCCTGGTCTCCGAGGCACACAGCTCCAGCTCCCACCCAGCCACCTCCCCCGAGACGCCTCCCTGACTGCAATGAGCCAGGGCCAGGAGCGGGGGGGCCCTTTCTCCCGCACCAGGCCGGGCACCACCTTCGGCCCCCCAACCCGGGCCCCAGGAGGGCCTGGAGAGGGAGAAGTCCGAGCTGATGAGCTGGCTTCCTCCCCAGGCACGCCCTCCCCGCCCCAAGCCTCCCGCCCGCCTGGCCACGGGCCGCCCCACTCACCCTCGCTGAGGAAGGTGTCCCAGACGCGCAGCACCGTGGGGAAGGGCAGCGAGCGGGCGAAGAGGCACAGGAACCACTCGGGCAGGTACAGCAGGGGCCCCACGCCCACCTGCTGCAGGTGCTTGTGCACACGCGGGAGCAGCCGCCGCAGCAGGGAGGAGAACACCTCGGCGTCCAGCCGCACGGCCTCCTGCGGCCACGGCCGTCAGCCCGCGGCCTGGGGCCACCCGCACCACCGCTGCCCCGGGCCCCTGGGCTGCTGCCCCCCGCCCCGCCATGCCCAGCCTCTCACCATGTGGGGCCCGTAGTAGCCGGGGAGGTAGACCTCACAGATCTGCACCAGGCACCAGAAGGCCTCCTGGAGGGGCGGGCACAGGAGGGGGCTGGGAAAGGGGTGCGGCCCCCCCTGCCCGGTGCCTGAGAGCCTCTGCCCGAGACAGAGGCGCGAGAAACAGGGCTCGGGGTGTTGGGCTGGACGGTCCCTGGGTTCCTGGGGTCAGGGGTCACGGCCATGGGATTCAGAATCAGGAGTCATGAGGTCAAGGTAGCCGCACCAGACCCCTACCGAGGTCACTGGAGTAAGGGCTGGGGTCGGGGGTCCCAAGTCCCTGGGGTCTTGAGAGTCATGAGGTCAGTGGTCCTGAGGCCCTGGGTCCCCAGGACACCATGTCCCCAAGGCCAGTGTTACTTGGGATTTGGGGTCATGGGCCCGGAGTTCAGGATGGCCAGGTCCCTGGGGTTGGGGGTCAGAGTCCTGGGTCGCCGGCCACTCACCTCCGGGGGCAGGTGCATGAGCAGCACGGCGGCCACGGGGCCCTGGGCTTGGCAGTAGCCCTGGTCGGGCCGGTACAGGGTGTAGGCCTTGAGCACCTGCAGGAGCCCCTGCTGCCTGTGCCAGGAGACCCCATCAGGGCCAGCCCCCGGGCACCCCTTCCCACCCTCCCCCAGGTGCCCTGGGACACACGGCAGCAGCGGTAGATCGGGGCGACCGGGCCGAAGGTCCCACCAGGTCCCTGGGCACCCCTTGCCTCGTACCCATGACCCTGGGGGGACACAAACATCTCGTGCAGGGGGAACTGGCGGTGCAGGTCCCTGCCAATGGTCTCCAGCCACTGCGGGTCCCCGGGGGCCTCTGCCAGCTCCTGTGGCGGGCAGGAAGGCGGGCGTGAGGGCTCTGTGTGGCGCGGCCCCCCGGGGGGAGGTGGGCCTGCCGCACCCTCACCTGGTAGGTGCCGGGGCTGCCGCTCTGACGCACGTGGGCCCCGCACAGCAGGGGCCAGCAGCGGGCCCGCAGGGCCGAAGGGATGCCCTTGCGACACTGGAGTTTCACCTGCGGGCGAGGCGGGCGGTGAGGGCCGTCCCCGCGGCCCGAGCACAGCAGCGGGCTGGCGGCAAGGGCACCCCTCACCTTCTTGTACCGGCGGGACATGGTCTTCTCCCAGTGCTGCGTCAGCTCCACCCACTGCATCTCCCGCTGCCGGATCAGGCCTGCCGGGGGCTGGCCCGTCCTGGGGGCACGGGACACAGGTGTCAGGCGCCGGGCAGCCGTCCCCTCGGGCCACACCTGTCCCCCACCCCTGCTGGCCGCCCGGGTGAGGCCCGTTAGTGGCCCTGGAGATCCCCAGAAAGCCCCCAGAGTGAGCTGTGCCCCAGAGGCTACCAGCGGTTGTCACAGGGCCAGGGCAGAGCAGAATGATGGGGTGAGTGGGTGTTTGTGGGGCGGGGAGCCTGGTCGGCTGCCTCCGGGGACAGGGACGTGGACGATCCCCAGGCAGCTGGTCGGACGGTGTCCCGCACTGGACACCAGGAGTCCTGAGTGTCGGCTGTGCTGTGTGCCCTGGGGCAAGTTTCTGTCTGTCTCTGAACTTGTTTTCCTGTCTGTACAGGAAGGGCTGGTAGGAGGCGATGTTGGGATTCGGAGCTGGGATTCCAGGGCCCGCGATTAAAAGGGGAAGGATGTTTAGTCTCCGGGGTGGGGGCGAAAGAGACAGAGCCACCCCCACCCGGGTGATTCCACATCAGTAGGACTCCACCTGGCGCCTGGGGACGGTGACACTGGCCGAGTCCCCAGTGTCCAGTCCCCACGCCAGACCCTCCCAAAGCAGGGTCTCCCTCCATAACTCCGCCCCCGCCCCTCCCTCAGCCCCGACCCCCTGCCGCCCAGCCCCGCCTCACTCACCCGGGCTCCTCCGCCGAGCAGCCCCCAATGAAGCCATAGCGATCGGCCTGGCGATATGGGCCGGGCCCACTCAGCTCCGAGTCGGACCCCAGGGAGCTGGAGTCCTCCTGCAGCTCGGAGGTCTGCAGCAGCTCCTCCCCCAGGGCCCGGGCCATGGTGCGAGACCCTCCAGGCCACGGGCTGCGGCCAGCTGCGGGCGTGGAGAGCCACTGTGAGGGGGCCGCTCCCCGCCCTCCCGGTGCCCGGGTCAGAAGGGACAGGTCTCAGGGCATCCCGCCAAGCCCCCGTGTCCTTTCACGGGCGTGGGGGGAGAGCAGCCAGGCTGTGAAATGACAGGAGGGCCAGGCCTTGGCACCCAGACCCCGAACCCACCGGCCCCGGCCCGAGGCGCCCTGCTCACCTACCGCTGCACCTCACCCCTCACCTCCTCCTCCCACTTCCTCCTCACAGCCTCAGCAACCCGCTGGGGGCCCCTCCCAAGGGGGGGGTCACCCCTTCCTCTCCGAGCTCTTCCTGCCCCCGCAGCGCCCCTGAGCCACCAGCTCCTCCCCTCCCCGGCGGCGGCCTCGGGTTCCTGTGCTGCGTGCGACGGCGCCAGGCCACCTGGGTGGCAAGGTCAGCTCGGGGTGCCAGTGAGGACCGCGGCTGCTGTCGCGTTTGCCCGTCACCACCTGCACCCTATGGGATACTATTTCGCCCCTGGAAAGGTCATTGCGGGACTTAGTAAAAAGTGCACTTAGCATGCACAGGACAGCGTGGAGCATCCCGAGCGAGGGACGCGCGGATGTCCTGGGGCTGGTCAGCTGCCTGGGGGTCACCCGCCAGCCCCGGGACTCGGTTCCCTTGTATGCACTGGCAGAGCGTGACCGCAGCGTCTGGGCAGACGGGTCTTCACGTGCTCACACCACCCGGCCGCCCAGGCCGCCCGGCCCGTGCGAGAGAAAAACAACTTCCACGGTCCTTCCGGTCCCCCAGCCTCTGAAACGGGCTGGGCGGTGCCGCGGGGGTGGAACCCGGCTCGGCCCCGCCCCGAAAGCCCCGCCCCCCAGCTCCTAGGCCAGGCCCCGCCCCGCGCCGCCGCGCTCCTCGTCCAGCGGCGGCGCCAGAGCGTGGAGGGGCGGGGCCTGGCCCGGGGCGGGGCGGGGCCTGGGCCGGGCGGGGCGGGGCCTGGGCCGGGGGCGGCCCGGGGCGGGCGGAAGCAGCGCCAGGCCGGAAGGAGGCTGCGGGCGGGCGGGAGGCAGGAGTGGGCCCGGAGCTGCTGGGCCCGAGCGGCGGCGCCGCCATGTCCGACAGCGAGAAGCTCAACCTGGACTCTATCATCGGGCGCCTGCTGGAAGGTTGGCGGGGGTGGCGGGGCGGCCGTGCCCACCGCCGCGCCCCGGGCCCCGCCAGGCCCGGAAGTGGCGCGCGGACGAGCCGGCCCCTCCCGGACCAGCTCGGGCTGGGCGGAGGCGGCCCGCGAGCTCGCCGCTGGGCCCGGCTCCTGGGCTGAGGGGAGAACCCGTGCGCCCTCGGGCTTTGGGCGACGGCCCCCTGGGAGGGCCTCGAGGGTGGTGGGGGTCTTTCTGGTCCTGGGAGGCCTGAGGCGGCGGCCAGGGCAGGCGCCGCAGCCCCCGCAGCCCCCGCGGCCGGGAGGGTCCCCGGCGGCCCCGCAGGTGCCCGCGGAGAGCCACTCGTGTCGCCCACCTGCTCCTGGCTCGGGGGCCGGGTGCTCAGCCCCCTCCCCCCGCCCCCCAGTGCAGGGCTCGCGGCCCGGAAAGAATGTGCAGCTGACGGAGAACGAGATCCGTGGTCTGTGCCTCAAATCCCGGGAGATCTTCCTGAGCCAGCCCATTCTGCTGGAGCTGGAGGCGCCCCTCAAGATCTGCGGTGAGCCCCCCGCCGGCCCCTCCCCCGCGCAGGCCCGGGGCCCCTCCTCGCTGACCCCGCCCCCGGCCCCCAGGTGACATCCACGGCCAGTACTACGACCTGCTGCGGCTGTTCGAGTACGGCGGCTTCCCCCCGGAGAGCAACTACCTGTTCCTGGGTGACTACGTGGACCGCGGCAAGCAGTCCCTGGAAACCATCTGCCTGCTGCTGGCCTACAAGATCAAGTACCCCGAGAACTTCTTCCTGCTGCGCGGGAACCACGAGTGCGCCAGCATCAACCGCATCTACGGCTTCTACGACGAGTGTGAGCGCGCGCCGGCGGCTGCCCGGCGTCCACCCTGCCCCTGCCCCTGCCCCGGGGCCGCCCTGCATCCCTGACCTGAGCCCTCTGGACGCCTGAGGGGTCTTGGTGTGGCCCCGCTCACAGGGTGGGGGAGCCGGCCCGACAGGGGTGGGGCGGGGGCCCAAGCCCTCCTTGCCTTCCAGTCCTCTCCCAGCCCACAGGGTGCCCTGGCGGCCCGAGCGCCAGGCCTCCCCGTGAGCCGTCCCCGTCCCTGTCCCCTCACAGGCAAGAGACGCTACAACATCAAGCTGTGGAAGACGTTCACCGACTGCTTCAACTGCCTGCCCATCGCGGCCATTGTGGACGAGAAGATATTCTGCTGCCATGGCGGTGAGGCTGGCTCTGGGCGTGTGCCGGGAGGGGGCCTCGGCATCCCGTCTCTGTCGCCTCCAGAAGGCCCTCCACCCGGCTGGCCTAGGCCGCGCTCACCTCTGCTGGGCGTCCGGCACCCCGCTGGGCTGCTAGTCCCGTTCCTGGGGGTGAGCGCAGTCGCGGAGGGAGCACTTCTGCCTGTCTGGGCGCCGGCGGAGCCGGGACCGGGGCCGCACGGTGGCGGGAAGGCGAGGCTGACTGGCAGAGCCTTCCTGGGGGGAGCCCCCTAGTCACAGAGGGAGGGACAGATGTCCCATCTTCACTCCCAGGACGGCTGCAACGGCCAGGGCTGGCATCTGTGTCTCCCACAGGGGTGGCCAGGCCCGGACCCCTGAGCCACCTTCCGTTGATTCCCCAGGCCAGTGGCCGGGAGCTGGGCCGGAAGTGGAGCAGCTGGACGCCACCCAGTGCCCGTGTGGGTCGCAGGCTACCTGCTGTGCCACCGTGCCAGCCCCCGTCCTTACGTTTTTTAAGATTTACTTATTTGAAGGCAGAGTGACAGGCACCGCACACCCAGTGGTTCACTCCCCCAGTGCCCCCAATAGTCGGAGCTGGGCCAAGCTGAAGCAGGGAGCCCGGAAGCCCACCCGGGCCTCCCTCGTGGGCGCAGGGCCCCAAACACTCGGGCGTCCTCGGCTGCTCTCCAGGCGCGTTGGCAGGGAGCCGGCCGGGACGTGGAGCGGCCGGGCGCCCGCGGCTGAGACTGGTCCTCTCCCCAGGCCTCTCCCCCGACCTGCAGTCCATGGAGCAGATCCGGCGCATCATGCGGCCCACGGACGTGCCCGACCAGGGCCTGCTGTGTGACCTGCTGTGGTCTGACCCCGACAAGGACGTGCAGGGCTGGGGCGAGAACGACCGCGGCGTCTCCTTCACCTTCGGCGCGGAGGTGGTGGCCAAGTTCCTGCACAAGCATGACCTGGACCTCATCTGCCGGGCGCACCAGGTGGGCCGGGCTCCGGCCCGGGGGGAGGGGCGGCGCGCCCCGCAGGACTGACCGCCCCGCCCCCACTCCCCCCGCAGGTGGTGGAGGACGGCTATGAGTTCTTTGCCAAGCGGCAGCTGGTGACACTTTTCTCAGCCCCCAACTACTGTGGCGAGTTCGACAACGCCGGAGCCATGATGAGCGTGGACGAGACCCTCATGTGCTCCTTCCAGGTGGGGAGCGGAAGGAGGGGGCCCGGCCCGGCCCGGCCCCGCCCCGCACGCCTGACTGCCTTTTGTCTTTTCAGATCCTTAAGCCGGCCGACAAGAACAAGGGCAAGTACGGGCAGTTCAGTGGCCTGAACCCTGGAGGCCGACCCATCACCCCACCCCGCAACTCTGCCAAAGCCAAGAAATAGCCCCCGCGTGCGGCCCCCTGCCCAGACAGGGGCTGACTGCACAGGAACCATGCTGCCACGGCCGTGCCGCCTCGGCCGCCACCACGGGGACACGGGCCTCGGTGGATCTGTTTTTTAATGAATCACTAGCAGCACCCACCCCCCAGGCTCCCTCCAGCCTGCACCTGCGCGGCTGCAAGCAGGATCCTGGGGCCAAGGCTGCAGCTCAGGGCGACGGCGGCCAGACTGGGTCTCGTCTCGTGCGGCCGCAGGGCTGGCAGCCGGGTCCCAGGGCAGCCCGTCTGGTCTCCTGAATAAAGGTCAAAGCTGGATTCTGGCCACGGCCTGCGTTTCCCTTGTCCGAGCACGGCCACTGGGGAGGGCAGCTTGCCGGGCACAGGCCCAGCCAGGGCAGCCTGAGCCACACACTCGGGTCCAGAGGTTCCTAGAATTCCAGACCAGAGCCAGAGGACTGGGGAAGGCGAGAAAGCAGCCTGTGCCAGCGCAGGGCTTCCCTGAGGTGTGGCTTGGGTCTGAGCAAAGAGCAGGTCTCGGGTGCGGGCCGGCGGGCTGCCAGCGGCGGCCGGGGCCTGGCCTGCGGCCTGCAGCAGACAAAGTGGCGAGGAGCCTCCTGCCGGGGTGGCGAGGCCCTGGCTCCCTCCCCAGCTGCTGCCACCCCGAGGCCGGGCCCGGCTGGCGCCACTGAGCCTGGGGTCAGCCTTCGCCGTCGCTGTCTTCAGCCAGCACAGAGCTGGGGCCCTGGGGGGAGCGCATGGGGGTCAGGACGGAGCCGAAGAACAAGGAGCGGAACTGGAAGGAGAGGAAGTTGCGTGAGCTCTGGGGGCTGCTCCCGTGCTCCCCTCCCAGCCCCAGCTGCGCCGCCAGCCCCTACCTTCTTGGGTGGGGGGGTCCCAGGCACTGTAGTGGGCTCAGCTTCGTCTTCGTCCTCGTCCTCGGAGGGGGGTGCGGGGCTGCAGGGCGGCTGGGGACCTGGTGAAGGGGACCCGGAGGGCCGCGCCCACGGGGCCTCACTGCCTCCGCTGGTTTCCATGGCGATCATGTAGGAGTCCATGTCGTCGCTGGCGAAGTCGTCCTGGTGGGGTGTGCTGCGGGCAGAGGGGGCGTGAGGCGCAGGGAGGGCGGGGCCTGGGGGCTCAGGGCCCACTAGTGGTCACTTGGCTGTATTCTGCTTTGCTAGAGAGGAAGGATGCAGGGCCAAGGGGAGGCTTCCTGGAGGAGGCGGGGCTCGCATCCGGCTGTCGGGGGAGGGGCTGCAGAGGCGTGCTGGGGGCTGGCTGGGCTCTGCTCTGGGAGGGGAGCAGCAGGCCTTGTAAGGGAGTGGGCCACAAGGGGCCCAGGCCCCCCCTTCCCCGGGGACGGGCGCTGGAAAGCACTGGCGCCCTGGGACGCGCTGGGCGGGGGGCCAGACCCAGCTTCCTCTGCTTCGGCTAGGCCGGCGTCCTCCCCAGCCCACCTGCCCTCCCAGCCACCTGCTTCCCCCACCCCAGGCAGCCCCTGCCTCCGCCCCAGCCTGGGGGGAGGCTCAGAGGGGAGGCTCCAGCCAGAGAAACCAGGCCAACAGGGCCTTGGGGAAGCTTCCCTGGGTGGGAGGGGTCTCCAAACAGCTGACCACGCAGCCGGCAGGAAGTGTGTGTTGGGGGAGGTGCGGACGCTGGAAGCAGCAGGCTCAGGCAGGGGGCCGAGACCAGCAGAGGAGGGGTGCGCAGGCGGCGCCCTCACCTGTGGGCCTGGAGCCGAGGTTCCGGCCTGCGGGGCTCCAGGGAGCCCAGGCCCAGGGAGTGCGGGTCCGGCTCCGACAACGTGGCCAAGACAAAGTGGCCATCCAGCGTAGAGTCCTCCACAGTGAAGATGGCCGGCCTGGGCAGGGGACGGGCCCACGCCGGTCACTCCAGGACAGGGCTGCTGCCAGCCCCCCGCCCTGTCCCTCGGCTGCGCGTTACCTGCCCGGAGTATCGAAGTGAACGCTAAGCGACAAGTTCGCCGACTCAGCAAAGCTCAGGAGCCCCTGGGAGGGAGGGAGAGGCAGAGCGGTGAGGCCGGGTGTCGGCCCGCCGGGGCGGCGTGGCACGTGGCGCGGCGGGAGGCTCACCCGGAACTCCTTGAGGCAGAACGTGACGGCCACCCCCTCGCGGACCCGCAGCTGCTGGAAATCGTCCTCCCCCAGGCTCATCTCCGTCACCATGGCTTTGAGGGAGCTGTCTGGGGGGCAGGCCGGGAGGAGGTGAGGACCCCGCCCCGGCCCCCAGCACGCGGGGCAGCAGCCCGCCTCCTCACCTGCCTCGTCCTCCTGATAGCTGCGCAGGATGACCCTGCGGCCAGCGCCGACGCCCAGCGTCACCTCGGCCAGGGCGAGGGGGAAGGGCAGGACGGCCTCTCCCAGGACCCTGCGGGGAGAGCAGCGCGTCACGGGCAGGCAGGGGTGGCCAGGAGCCGGGACACAGCCCCTGCCCGCGCAGCCGTGGGGCACTGCGTTCGCCCATCCCTAGGAGCCAGGACTCAGGGCGCCCTGCAGGCCTCATCTACGGACGTGTGCCACAGCTGAAAGACGGCAGGCACGGCTCTCGGCTGCTGCAGGAACTGGCGCCCGCGAGAAAGAGCAACAGTCGCTCGTTCTGAACAACAGGCGGTGGGACCGCGCGCCGTGGCGCAGTCGTGCTAAGCTGCCCGCTGTGACGTCCGCTGACTCCAGTCCTGGCCGCTCCCTGCTCACGTGCCTGGGAAAGCAGCGGGGCACGGCTCGAGCGTCTGGGACCCTGCACCCACACGGGAGACCCAGATGGAGTTCTGGCTTTGGCCACATCCTGGCCCAGCCCCAGCCGTTGCAGCCATTTGGGGCGTGAACCAGTGGATGGAAGATCGCTCTAACTCTGCCTTTCAAATAAGTGAAATATCTTTTAAATTAATTACTCGAAAGAAAGAGAGGCAGAGGCAGAGAGAGGTCTTCCATCCGTTACCCAGATGGCCACAACAGCCAGAGCTGGGCCAAATCGAAGCCAGGAGCCAGCAGCTTCCTCTGGGTCTCCCATTCGGTGCAGGGGCCCAGACACTTGGGCCACCCTCCACTGCTTTCCCAGGGCACAGCAGAGAGCTGGATGGGAACTGGAGCAGCTGGGACTTGAACTGACGCCCACATGGGATGCCAGCACTGCAGGCGGCGGCTTTACCTGCTATGTCACAGCCCGGCCTGGATAACATGTATCTTAACAAAACTAAGAGCGTGGCAGGCCTTGCAGCTCAGAGGGTCAGGCCGCTGCCTGGGACACCCACACCCGTGTCAGAAAGCCTGGTTCAAGTCCGCCTACTCCGAATCCTATCCAGCTTCCTGCAGACGATGGGAAATGCAGATGCGGGCGTGGGTTCCTGGCTGCAGCCTAACCCAGCCCTGTGGGCACTGAGGGAATGAAGCAGCAGGCGGAAGACGGCCCTTCCCTCTGTTGCCCTGCCTTTCGTGTGAGTAGAAAAGTCAGTATTTGGTCCTCACATGGAGACCAGGGCGAAAGCCTCCCCTTCCCCTGACGGCGTCCCGGGCAAGTGCGGCTCAGCAGAGCCCGGGGCGCGCGCCGCCGGGATCCACAGGGGCCTTCAGAGCCCACGAGCAACGGGGGGACGGGGGCTGCTGGATGCAGGTGGGGTCCCGCGGGGAGCAGGGGGCAGCCCAGCCCTCTCTCGGCTGACCCTTGGCTCAGACCTTTAGCCGCAGTAACACGCACGCCTGCCCGCCCCTGCGGCCCTCGGTGCGCCCCCCGCACGGGCAGCCCTCCTGGACACGGCATCTCCGGCTTGGCCCGGCCACTCAAGGCCTGGAGCCTGGGCGTTAGAAGGGGGCTTCCCCGGAGCGGCGACCCCGCGGAAGAAGGGCAGGCCAGGCCTTCCCGGTCACCCACGCCAGCCGCGCGCTCTTCCAGCGGAATCGGAATGGCCGAGCGCCAGAGCACCAGGCCCGGCCCCTGGGACGGACGAGCACGGGGCCGAGACCTCCGTTCCTTCGGCTCGCCTGTACGTCGAGGGACCCCGGCTGAGGACCTGCCCGCCGCCGGCTGGGTGAAGTCTGAGGCTCCCAGCGAGCGCAGCGGATACGGGGGCAGTGCCTTCCTCAGCCGACCCCCTGAGCCCCCAAGTAGGAAGGGGCGTGCTCACCGTGCGGGGGCGCAGAGCTTGTAGGGGCACGAGGCTGGGTCAAAGACGGCCTGCAGGGACTCGCAGTCCTGGAAGGCCAGGTTGTGGGTCTTCCTCACCCCTGCACGGGCAGACGGGGTCTCAGCGCGCCTCGCGGGCCTCCGCCTCCCCAGGGACCCCGGCCCGCCTGCAGCCCGCTCACCGTATCTGCAGTGCAGCTGCACGACCAGGCGGCTGCTCCTGCCACTCAGGGAGATGCAGCACGTCTCCACCGTCTTCTCCAGCATCGCCAGCGAGCGGAAGACGGACAGGAAGGACTGGGGGCGGGGGGCGGGACATCAGCTCTCCAGGCCGAGCAGGCCGGGCGCGGGCGCCCAGGACAGAGCCTCACCTTCATCAGGATCTTACAGTGCAGCGGGTCCTGCCCGGGGGTGGCCGCCTGGTACTGCTGGAAGAAGAGCGGGGCAAACAGGAAGCAGGCGTAGGCAGAGCGGGAGGAGTTCACGGTGCGCAGGGAGAGCTGGGGACGGACAGCAAGGGCAGGGCCGTGGTCAGGCGCTGCGGGCCGCCTGCGCCCTCACGCGCGGTCAGCAGCCCCCTTCTCCAGGAAGCCTTCCCAGCCTACCTGAGCACTGCGGGGAACAGCCGAGTGCCGCGCCCCCTGCCCTCCCTCCCCGTCTTCTCTAGGTCCCCTCACCCCACCCCCCCGCTGACGCTGGGCACCCCTGCGAGGCCCACTGCCCTCAGGGCGCCCTCCGGCCCGGGAAGACGGCAGGACCCAAGCATGGAAACGCACTCCGCGCACACGTCTGCCCAAGGCCATCCCGCGTGCTCCGGGTCGGCAGCCTGCATGCCCCGGCCCCTCACCCCTTCCTCCATGGGTTCCAGGTAGAGCTCATCCCCGATGCGGGACAAGGAGTGGACGGCCTTGCCGAGCACTGCAGAGAGGAGACAGGGGCGGTTAGGCGGGCGCCCCGGCCGGCTCCCGCGCCCCGCAGCCGGGCCGGCCCGGACTCACCTTTCACGTTGCCGCCCGTGACCAGGCACCGCATGCTGACTGTGGAGCTGACCCCGGCCTAGCTGGAGCCCCGGACCTAGCTCAGACGCGGGGCGCCCCGCAGCCAGCCCCAGAGCAGAGCGATGCCGCTGCTACCACCGCCGTCGCCCCTTCCCCTCTTCCCGCGCGCCGCCCCCGGCCGG